TGTCTGTCATTGGACTATTTGAAGCTTCCGGGCAGTCTTCAAAGGCAACCCCACGTAGAGTGCGTTGCAGTAGTCTATTCTAGATGTAACGAGAACATGGACCACCGTGGCCAAGTCTGTATTTCTGAAAGAGTTATCATGAGGGCAAGGGGTCTCCACGGAGGCTTTATCTCCAATCCTTCTTTCCACAAGAAGATAAATTATTCAAAATCTAATTATCACGGGGACAGAAAATGAGGTGTTTTTTTTCCAAATCAGGAGCAACTTGAGAAACTGCAAGTCACTTCTGGTGTGAGAGAATTGGCTGTCTGCAAAGATGTTGCCCAGGGGACGCCCAGATGTTTTACAATCCTGTGGGAGCCTTCAATCATGTCCCCACATGAGAAGCTGAAGCTGACAGATGGGAGCTTACCCCACTCCCTGGTTTCGAACTGCCGACTTTTCTGTCAGCAGTCCTGCCAGCACAAGAATTTAACTCATTGCACCTCTGGGGGGTTCTAGAAAGTGAAGTGAAATCTTCTGAACAGGAGCACAGACAGCAAAACTCTTCCCTGTGCTATCCAAAACATGCTGTGTGTGTGTGTGTGTGTGTACTTGCGTGTCTGGAGTACATTTAACAAGTGTAGTTGTTCCAACTTACAAATAAATTCAATTTAAGAACAAGCCTACAGAACCTATATTGTTTGTAACTTGGGGACTGTCTGTAATTGAAATACTGCCATCAGTGTTCAATGACCTCCATATGACACAGGACTGAAATTCCCATTATCCCTAACCATTGGCTGATGAGAGTTGACATTCTAAAAAATAAAAAAACCCTAAAAAACACTACCTCTATTTGACTCACAAATAATCTGGATTTATTATTTTGGGGTTACTTTGAGGTTATTTTGCGGATTGTCTGTCTGCCACAACATCCTAGGAGGAGGATGTTGTCAGCCTGAGAATTCGGAGTCTTGGAGTCTCAGCTTTGCCTGCCTGTCTGTCTAGATGTATTTCTGTAGTTTATATCTGCAAAGATAAAGTTGACACTTGTATGAAGATGATGTCTGGCATAGTAGAAGCCAAAAAAGGGGGTAGGGGTGGGTTTGAATGTCATGGTTCTGCATAGCTTTTTAGTGTTGTTTCTGTTAAGAAAAAAAAAAAGAATAAATTGATAAGATTTTTACATTTTTTTCTAATTTACATAATAATATTAATGGTCTCAGGATTCCATTTGCCCTGCAAAAGTATTATGCTATTTTTAAGGTTTAGAGAAAAGTCTTTGAGCAATCATATGAAGTAATTTAAACTTTAAAAGAATGACTCATCCATCCCTGTCAGATTTTTTTCTTAGCCGATGATGAGTAGGTATATGAACCAGATCAACAGGTTATGCCATTTGGTCATGTTTGCTTCACACAAGTTAATTTAGAACACGGTCAATCAGACAGGTGTTAGGATTGATGAAAATCAAAAGTCGTGCCTCAAGATGATTTCCTTTCACTGGAATTCCCTCTCAGTGGTATTCACAAGATCCCTTACTAGAATCCTACTACATGGAATGAATACTTGTAAGCACATATATTGGTTTCTAATTAGAAAAGAAACCATAATTTTTCCATTCAAAAAATCTACTGGAAGTTATCCCAAGTTTCCTTTATGACAGTCGTGTAAGAACGGGAAGCGTTCTGCTTATTGCTAAACAAAAGAAAGTCAGAAATTCTTGCAAATGTGCTGGAAATAAAGTGAAATCTGTTAATAAGTCCAGGTTTAACTATTTTCCATTTATTTCAGTATATATTTTGAGGATTTTGGTTTGCATCAATACAAGTATAGTGTCTAGATCAGTGGTTCTCAACCTGGGGTCCCCAGATGTTTTTGGCCTACAACTCACAGAAATCCAAGCCTGTTTACCAGCTGTTAGGATTTCTGGGAGTTGAAGGCCAAAAACATCTGAGGACCCCAGGTTGAGAACCACTGGTCTAGATCCAGGGAAGCCATGCTACCCCTCTATTCTGCCTTGGTTAGACCACATCTGGAATACTGTGTCCAATTCTGGGCACCATAATTGAAGGGAGGCATTGACAAGCTGGAATGTGTCCAGAGGAGGGTGACTAAAATGTTCAAGGGTCTGGAGAACAAGCCCTATGAGAAGCAGCTTAAAGAGGTGGACATGTTTAGCCTGAAGAAGAGAAGGCTGAGAGGAGACATGATGGCCATGTATAAATGAGGAGAATTCATAGAGAGGAAGGAGCAAGCTTGTTTTCTGCTGCCCTGGAGACTATGACACGGAACAATGGTTTCAAACTACAGCAAAGAAGATTCCACCTGAACATTAGGAAGAACCTCCTGACTGTGAGAGCTGTTCAGCTGGGGAATTCTCTGCCCTGGAGTGTTGTAGAGGCTTCTTCTTTGGAGGCTTTTAAGCAGAGGCTGGATGGCCATCTGTCATGGGTGCTTTGAATGCGATTTTCCTGCTTCTTGTCAGGGGGTTGGACTGGATGGCCCACGAGGTCTCTTCCAACTCTATGACTGTATGATTCTATTTACTTAGAGCCTAAATGTAAGTTATGGTTAGAACCCTTTAACAACAAAGGTTCTCAACTTGGCTTACATTTAGGGCACTATCACTGTACATTGTTATAGCCCTATATGGCAGCATCCTATGTGATCTTGGGGTTTGTAGTTTGTACTCAGAATTTTCAGCAAGAGAACTCTTTGTTCCCATTAAACTCAAAACCCCAGAAAATTGGAATACAGTAGGGTCACCTATTGTGCAAATTAATGTTACATGGTTTCAATTATACACAAAGACTCCTTTCATGGATGAAGGTAAGGTCAGTGGGGAGAGTAAGCCGCGTGCAGTGAGTTCTTGAAAGTAGTGCCATCCCCTGCTGCCAAATCCAGTGGGAAGCCCAGTTGCCTGAGAGAAGCGATGGAAGTCCATCAGTCTCCTTTCTTGGTGGAGAGAAGCAACCAAAGTTCAGTTGTGTTTCTGTTCATCAAGACAGTTTTTAAATGCATTTTAACTGTCCCCTAAACTTGCTTCTAACATGGTAAATAAATAAATAAATAAATCCCATCATGCAAATCTTCCTTTCAGTTACTCTCTCCTCTGTGGAACAGCAGGTAAGCAGGGGAAAGTATTTGTGTGCTATATAGATTACTGCAACGCACTCTACGTGGGGTTGCCTTTGAAGACTGTTTGCAAGCTCCAACTGGTACAGCGAGCAGTGCTCAGAAAGCATACAACTCCCCTGTTGTGTCAGCTCCACTGGCTGCCAGTCTGCTACCGAGCACAATTCAAAGTGCTGGCTTTAGCCTATAAAGCCCTAAATGGTTCTGGCCCAGGCTACCTGTCTGAACATATCTTCCCCACTGAACCAGCTCAGAGACTAAGATCACCTGCTCTTGGTCCCGCCTGCCTCACAATATGGCTGGCGGGGATGAGAGACAGGGCCTTCTCCGTGGTGGCCCCTTGGTTGTAGAACTCCCTCCCTAGTGACATCAGACAGGCCCCTCCCTACTAGCCTTCAGGAAGAGAGTCAAAATCTGGCTCTGGGAGCAGGCTTTCGAAAATTAGGGCAATGCAATATGCCGAATATAGAATTATGTGCAATTTGACTTTGGAATGGCCTTAGACCTTGAACTCTGGATGGTGTGATTTTAACTTTGAATGTATTTTAACCATTTTAAATATGTTGTAATTTTAAACTATTTAAAGGTGAATTTGTTGTTTTGAGGCACTCTGTAGGTGCCATTGTAAGCCGCCTTGAGTCCTCCTGCTGGGCTAGAGAAAGGCAGGGTATACATGTGGCAAATAAATAATAAAATACTGTATGGTATGTTCAGCTTTCAATGGTGTGTTAACTGGGAGGCTGGGGAAAGGAAAGGGAGTTAAATATATTAAACATAAATCATACCACTAAGACCCAGGCACAATTGATCTGTTCCTAGTTGTTCTCCTTCTTAATCAGAGGCCACAGCAATGGCAGATGGATGGCTGTGGATCTTTCATGAGACTTTGTGCCTCAAGCATGATATAGCCGTGCCTGGCTGCTCTTCTCTTCCTCAGAGACTACCTTGAGCAGTATGAGGGAAGTTCTGCTGCATGTTAAGCAAGACAAAACACTAAGACTTGGCATGATTGGGCATCTGTTAGGAGCTGAGTGCCAAGATTCCTGTGAACCTGTTCCTTCACTCAATCTTTTGCAACCTGTTTGTTTACCTGCCTCTCGTTGAGGCCCAGGCAACAAATGGTGATATGGAGACAAAGCTGTCAATGTCATTTTCTAGCTGTCTGTTCTAAATGCAATCAAATGATCGAGGAAAAATGGAAAAGATGGACCAGGAGTATCAGCTGGTAAAAAAAATGGTAAAAAGACACATTGAATGAGAGAAAGGGGCACGTCAATTGTTCTTACCTGAGTGCCCTTCAAATTAAGCACTGTTGCTTAATTTGATGTCAGGAACATAAAGCTGCTCTACCTTCCCTCCCATATCCTGTAAACATATAACAATATACACACCCACAATGCTTTACAGTTAACCATGGGTATAATTTTTGATCCTGTCAGGCAAGTTTCTAGTTCAGTAAAATAGACGTAAGGCTTCAGAAGGAACTTTGGTCCCCAGTTATTTACAGTCAGACTTTCTCTCCCCCAAAGCACTTGAGTAGATTTCTTTTTCATGTCAGGAGCGACTTGAGAAACTGCAAGTCGCTTCTGGTGTGAGAGATTTGGCCATCTGCAAAAATGTTGCCCAGGGGACACCCAGATGTTTTTGATGTTTTACCACCCTTTGGGAGGCTTCTCTCATGTCCCCACATGTGGAGCTTGAGCTACAGAGGGAGCTCATACGTGCTCTCCCTGGATTCAAACCTGTGACCTGTCAATCTTCAGTCCTGCCAGCACAAGGGTTTAATCCATTGCGCCACCGGGAAGCCCTACTTGAGTAGATAAAAATTGGGAACACGGTTATGATACTCTCTTTGTCTCCTTCCTTTTTTTCATCTTCAGGGACTGCTCTGCAATGTGAAGTCTGCACAGGTCTTGGCCAGAACTGTACTGGGGAGCTGGAAATATGTCCTCCATATCATGATTTTTGTGCCACTACTATGTTTGAAACTGAAAGGGGTAAGCATCATGGGGAAATGTGTTTTCCTTTATAGCTACTGTCTAGTTTTTTAGAATCCAGAATATCATGCTCATGTTTTGTAGTTGCAGAAAATGGAAATCTCCGTAACCTTTTGAAGATTTTATGATCTTTGGAAAAGCATGACCTTGTTAGAAGTCATAGTAAAGGTAAAGGTTTTCCCCTGACATTAAGTCCAGTCATGTCAGACTCTGGGGGTTGGTGCTCACCTCCATTAGCCAAAGAGCCGATGTTTTCCATAGACACTGCCAAGGTCATATGGCTGGCATAACGGCATGGAGCCCCGTTACCTTCCTGCCAGGGCAGTACCTATTGATCAACTCACATTTGTCAGTGTATGATTTATGTATGTTTAAATGCAATTTTATGTGATAGGATTGTGATTGTAATAGACTGTAAACGAATTGTATTGCCAGGATGTATGTTTACACAAAAGAGCTGTGAGAATGTAACCCTGAGTTTCTTGCTGTGTGAAGAATTAGGGAGTGTCATAGATAACTTCTTTCCAGCTGCAGTTTGTCTTTAATGCCTATCTCTTTCGGTTTGGGTTCTTCGCGTCTGCTCGCTAATGGTGTGTTTTTGATTTATGCACTGCTCAAGTAAAGCTGAAACCTGCTTTCCAGAGTCCATTATTCAGTGTTTCCGTGATTCTTCTGCTAGCGCTAACAACATTTGCATGTTTTTGAACTGCTAGGTTGGCAGAAGCTGGGGCTGACAGCAGAAGCTTATGCTACTTCCCAAAATCAAACCTGCGACTGAGTCAACAAGCTCAGCAGCTCAGTGGTTTAACCCACTGCACCACCGCGGGTCATAACCTCTTGAAAAATGATACCATAACCTCTTGGGAAAATGGCATTCATGCAAGGCAATTAGGTTTCTCAGCTGTTAAATTAGTGTGCCTAGAAATGTCTTTGAACTGTTAGGGACAAAGATATGCCAATGCACAAACAGATATATATATTCAGCTCAGTTTCAGAAGTGTCCTTTTTAGAGCCCTTCCACACAGCCCTATATCCCAGAATATCAAGGCAGAAAATTCCGCAATATCGGCTTTGAACTGGGTTATCTGAGTCCACACTCAGATAATGTGGGATTTTCTCCCTTGATATCCTGGGATATAGGGTTGTGTGGAAGGGCCCTTAGTTTCCCAAAAACTTCAACTCTCCCTTAAAATATATTTGCCTTTACATAATGCTCTCAAGAGACAAAAAATAAGCAGACTTCCTTAAAAGTAACATAGTTGGTTTACTCACAAACTTCATGTATTCAGCATACAGGTTCTTTCCATATGACTCCAGTTAGAAATATGATTTAAAGTAATTTCTCTGTGTAGGTAACGCACGGCATCTTTCTTACCCTTGCAGAAGAAATAAAGGTCCATGGACTCGTTAAGAACTGTGTTCCCTCCACTGTCTGTAAAACTGGTTCTGCTGATATTAACCTGGGCAAAAAAGGAAGATCGAGGACAAGCGTTTTCTGCTGTCAAGGCGATGCTTGCAATACAGCCTCTTCAGCCAAATGTAGGTGATGATCAATCTCTGTGTTAACCTTTTGGTCTTTTTGCACATTCTACTGCACAGCTTTCTAAACCATCTCGCAACACGTTTGTATGCTGGCTGCATTGCGTAGGTGTGTTGTGTGACGTGAGAAATGACAAAAATCTTGGAAATGTATATTATTATCTTACAAATCGTATATTTTAAAAAATATAAACAAAATGTTTTCATGAGATACATTGTGGAGCCGCAGTGGCGCAATGGGTTAAACCCTTGTGCCAGCTGAGCTGCTGACCCAAAGGTTGGTGGTTTGAATCAGCGAGGCGGGGTGAGCTCCCATCTGTCAGCTCCAGCTTCCCATGTGGGGACATGAGAGAAGCCTCCCACAGGATGGTAAAACATCCAGGTGTCTCCAGGGCAACGTCCTTGCAGATGGCCAATTCTCTTACACCAGAAGCGACTTGCAATTTTTCAAGTCGCTTCTGACATTAAAAAAATGAGATATGTTGTGGCCATTTACATTTGTTTATCACAAGTTATGTATGTGTCCATAACTCTTATAAGGGGTTTGCTAGTAGAACTTAATTACTGTGTTGTGAAATTATGCATGTCTAAAATGTGTGTCACCAACACGAAATGTTTGGAAAGATCTATCCTACCAAATCAGACTATGAGGGAGTTGTGGTTTTTTAAATCACAGTTTGCAACACACACATCAAACGCAAGGCCCACAGGCCAAATGTGGCCCACGAGGCTCTCAATGCCAGGGCAACATAGTTACATTTCTACAGTCTTACAATTACAAACGGCCTTTTGAAAGGTAAGCATAAGAGTCATATGGTCCTCTGTGAAAATGTGTTTGATACACCTGGTTTACAAGTTCTCCAGCTGGCATAATCACAAAAGCAACTTTTCCAAGCTCTCCTTTACACTACACTTTTATGTACAAATATGTGTGTGTGTGTGTGTGTGTGTGTGTGTGTGTGTGTGTGTGTGTGTAAAAACACACATACACATACACACATCTGCTTCCTAGAGCATGTGCAATGGATTTGAATGGAAGGAAAAGAGATTCTACTTAAACATTAGGGGAAAAAATTGATGGTAAGAGCTGGATATTTTTAAGCAGAGCTAGATGGCCATCTATCAGGAGTGGTTTGATTGTGTATTCCTGCATAGCAGAATAGGGAGGGACTAGATGACCATTGTGGTCTTTTCCAACTCCATGATTCTGATTCTATGTATGGTTAGGTCAGTCTCAACATTATATTATTCCATACAACAGGATTTCATGATTTGAGATACACGCTACAGTCAGTTCTCATAGGATGCTGGGACTCTGTGATTATGTGAAGCTTCATTGGTACTTTAAAAAAAAAACAAGCACACACAACACAGATCTCTTAAAAGATTTATTGAAATGACAGTACAATCAGGTAAGCCATCCTTGGCATCCACATTGAGTGTTGCATTGGCTATAAGGATGTTATCTCACAACTTGTCAGTTACCAACCCCTCTAGTTTCTAGGAAATAAATAAACAACTGTAGCCAATGGGCATAAATACGGTACAAATATACCCAGGTGTATGTATGTGTGAGTTGCTTAAGAAATATGTACTAGACAGATTTCCCTTCCACTGTTGCCGAAATGGTTGGGCAGTGCTCTTCACAAATTACAGCTATTGTCTGCCACCCTAATACATTTTTAATGATCTAATCTTCAGAATAAAGTTGCATGCCCACACATACATAAATACTCAGCCCACGTGCATTCCAACATGTGGAAATCAGGAAATGCTTACTGTACACATGAAGGAGAAATCTGACATGTGAGAAAAGTGGCAGTGTCCTCATGCTGTGAGTTTGGACCACACTGCTGACCTGTGGCAGCCATTGACCACTCCTTTATCCTGTGGTCAGTATTTTTATAGATTCCAGCTTCAAGAAAAAATGGTCAGGTTCATATGTATACATGCTACACTATAGACTCCTTGGTTTCTCCCTCCATTTCTCTTATCCTTCATTTTAATCATACTCTTAAAAATCAAATAAAGGATATATTTTAAAATGTACTTTACACACAATATCATTCCAAGAGGCTGACTTTCTCTTTTTGTTTGTTTAGTGCCACTTGTAGATACCAAACTCAATGGTCTGCGATGTCCAGCCTGCTATGCTTCCTTTTCTGAGTCATGCGGTGATGATACGGTTGACTGTGTTGGATCAGAGTCTCATTGCATTGATTTGGCTGGATATGTATATACAGGTAATGCATTTTGCACATATGCAAGCCAATGGTTTTTGTTCTTACTAGCTTCAGTAATTACACCTATAACAGATTTGTCGTTCAGATTTATGACTATTATGCAAAGGAAGAAATAAAGAACCACCTGTTGCATCTTGTGAAACTCATTTTAATAACCTTGCTACAGGAATCTGAGACAGAATTATTCAGCTTTTCATTTGTGGTTCTGCAATAACATTTAATATTGTGTCATATATCATAACATGTATTGCAATATCATATCTCAAAGCAGTTATCATGCAGCACCAAGAAATGGTGGACTGAGCTTCACAAAATAGAAAGGAAAACAATGTTTTCATTAAAGTAGAAGGGAAAAGAGCCAGTGTGGTGTCATAGTTTAAGCACTGGACTAATACAAATAATAATATAGTTTATTTATATTCTGCTCTATCTCCCCGAAGGGACTTAGGGCAGATTACAGAATGCATATACAGCAAACATTCAATGTTGTTATACAATTAACAAGGACAGACAATACATAAACAGAGGTAAAGTCTTTCCCAACTTTTTCCATTTCCGGCATCTGGAGTCTGTGCTTGACTCCAGCCTCGGGGAGGTGCTGTCGCTCTATTTTTCATGCCGAGGAACTTTCTTATCCATAGATGTCCTTCCGATCAAGTCACAGCATGTCCTTATGGGAGCCTTTTATTACCTTCCCACTTAAAGCGGTACCTATTTATCTACTCACATTGCTGTTTTCCATCTGCTAGGTGAGCAGAAGCTGGGACTGATGGTGGGAGCTCACCCCAACCTGGGCTTGAACTGCCAAGCTTTTGATTGGCAAGATTTTCTGCCGCTTAGCAGTTTAACCCGCTGTGCTAAGACTATTCAAGGGTCAAATCCCTGCTTGGCCATAGAAACTCACTCAGTGACCTTGGATAAGTCACATTCAGCCCTAGAGGAAGATAAAAGCAAATCCTCTTTGAACAAATTGTACCAAGAGAACCCCATGATAGGTTCATCTTAGAGTTGCCATAAGTCAGTAATGACTTATAGGTAGATATCATTATCAATGATGCACCAGATGTCTGCATTAATGCATCGGGGAGATGGAGGCTGTGCACCCGTTAGGTATCTTCATCTGGAAGTGAGTTCTATTGAACTCACTGGGATCTATTTTAAGTAGACATGATAGGGTTACAACTTCATAATTACCATCTAGTTTATAGAATCCAGAATATGGTGCTCAGGTTCTGTAGTTGAGGAATGGAGGAACATACTATAGGTTCAGTGGGTGGCTATCCATTGAGGTTCAGTTCCAGCCCCCACCCCTCAACCTCATGGACACCAAAATCCTTGCATGCTCAAATCCCTTTCCATACGATGACATAGTAAAACAAGCTCAGCAGCTTATATAAAATGATGAACAGCATTACCACAAACACAGCTACCATAGAGAGCTTGTTTGAGGATCTGTGAAATCATGGGAGCCTTGAGCAGAATATGCTTGGCACATGGCAAAATCAAGATTTGCTTTCTGAATATTTTTAGCCATGACTGGTTGAATGGATGCAGAACCTGTGGATACAAGGAGCTGACTGTACTAGGGAATCAACCAACTGCCATGCTGTCCATATGGAAGTGTTTCCCCAATGACTTCCATTCCGAGAATGAAATCAACACCTGATATGCAGTATTCTCCTTTAGAAAAACCATCTGAGTAACAGAAATTTTGATTTTCTACCATATTCCAGATTGATCATACGTTGGAAGCATTGTGAGAAATCAAAATGGCAGCTGTATATAGAGAAACTATTTATTTATTTATTATTTAAAACTTGTATATCCTGACCTTCTCACCTCCATAGAGGGGCTCAGACCAGCTTACAGCAAGGATTCAATGCTACTAATACAAGTTAAAACATCATACAACAATACAAGATTAAAATACATATAGATAAAATACATATATACCAAATCACCAAGTCAGCGGATAGCAATCTCTTTTGTGTCACAATGAAGATGAATGTAGACACTCACAGATGCAGAAGCCTTTTGCCTTTGACCAAGGAGCAAACTCAGTTGTTTGTCTTTTGCAGAGTTTATAGAAAAGAACATATATACATACAGAGTCCAATTGTTCTCTTTGAGCCACAAGCCTTGTAGAACTCCAAACTCCTTCCACCAAACTCCTCCAACAACCCACAGCAAGGAGTAGTACTTTTGCTCCTTTATTCCCCTAGCAGCTGCCCCACCCTGGCTGTAACCACACAATGTTAGCCAAGTGGTTTGGCTCTCACTCCCTGCTGCCTTGATTCTTGCACCACTTACTGCTTGTTGCTTAAGAAATGAACTCTAACATGTTGTCCACCATCAATGCCAGCAGGCAATTCCATCAAAAAAGACAGAAGTGGATCAGAGTATCATTTTCTTAGGGTTCTCTCAAATTATGGCTGAAGAACTGGCAAGAGCAAAGGAGTGATCAAGTCCTCTTCACCCTAATGATGAATACATTAATGTCTGGCATCTTTCCACATGAATTTATGTCCAAAGCAATGTTGCAATTTGGTTACTTTTCTGAATAAGCTTCTAACATTAGATACCATATGGGTTTAGCCAAGACAACAAAATTAACTTGATCCTTGTTGTTTTGTCTCATTGAGCCTACGCTCTATTGCTTGTTTGCTTTCAAATCTCTGGAAGGAACTGGGAAAACACCTTGGAGTTTTCCTTGCCTAAGAAAACCCTATTCAATTCATGTGATTGCCTTAAGTCAACAGCCAACTTGAAGGCACCCACACTTTGAACTGTTAGCCACTTTGAAGCTTTTTGTTGAAAGGAATATCGACTCATCAAAATTAGAAAGAAAACCATTTAAACACAGAAAACGTGTCACAGGGCAGGGGAATCTTTATCTATAGCTGTTATACAAATAAATGTAGTCTTTGTCCAAATCTGTAGCCAATAAAGAAATGGATAGATGGCTAACGATTGCCCCCTTGTGGCTACTCAGATCTCCTTGTTCATTTTTTGTTTTGTTTTGTTTTTGTATCATCAGGTGAAACATCTGAAAAAGTTGCCATGAAGGGCTGTGCTACTCTAGCCGTCTGTGATGCCACCACAGGAGGTGCAGCAACTTTTACTGGGGTCAGTTCAGCCATCACAAAGCTTGAATGCAGAGCGGCCACCAACGTTGCCAGCCAAACTCCCGAAGCAACTGGACTCTTCCTTTCAGTCATTGTTGGACTTGTGATGATTCAGCTTTCATCCTAACTAATCATCTGCATTCGTGAACAAGTGCATGGAGAAACTAAACTGAGGATTGGATTAAATCTGGTTCAGTGCTCATATCACAGCTGGGCATACGGGATATCTGAGATCAGGACTCAGGCATAATACAGAAAGCCCCCAAGTTAAGAACAAGATAGGTTCTGTAGGTTTGTTCTTAAATTGAATTTGTAAGTCAGAACACATACATTTTTAAAGTTTAACTCCAGCTGTAATAATTGGAATTTGAAAAAAAAACCTGGCTTGTTGTGGAAACAAGAATTGGTGACAAAGTTTCAGCAAAGAAACCTTTATTCCCATGATAATTCTTTCAGGTGTGGATTTCCTTTCCTACGGGTAGATTTCTCCCACTTCCTGTTGTCTCACCTCCGTTCTTAACTAAGTTTGATGTTTGTAACTAAAGAACTGCTTGTAACTATGGTTGCACAAAACCCTAGGCACAAATTAAAGATTTTTTTTTTGTATAAGTTAACCAAAATCCAGCAGTATTATATTACAAGCAGGGGGAAACCTATTGGGGTCATTTCAATATATGGGTTGAGTATCCTTTGAAACCAGTAGGGTTTCGGATTACTAGGGGATTTTGTTATACCTGTACTTGCGTAGTTGCATGTAATTTGATATCTTGGAAATGAGACCCAAATCTAAACACACAATTAGTTTATGATTCCTATACAGCTTATACATATAGACTGGATGTCATTTTATACAATCTATTTAATAATTTTGTGCATGAAACAAAGTTTGTATACATCAAACTATCCAAAAGGAAACATGTTATTATCTCAGCCATCCACGTTTTCTCAGGAGGAGGTGGTGGTTCACAGTATCATAGGCTGCTGACAGGTCTATGAAGACAGCTCCTGTGATCTGCTGTTAGAAATGTAATACAATGTTGCAGATGACACGATAAATAAATAAATAAATAGCCATCCACGTTGACATTTATTTATTTTTTTTGGATTCTGGAGTATTTCAGATTTTGAAATTCCAGATAAAGGATCTCAACCTTTACTAGTATAGTAATGTGCTGAGTATCCTGCTCTAAAAAGAAGAATTCATGGATTGCTTCTCTAGTGGGGTGACAGATGCCTTATTGATGCTTTTATCTGGCCTTTGCGTTTCTTTATAGGTATCCTCCTGTTTGCTAAAAGAGATCTCAGTACTCAAGGCTATGTAAAAGCCCTACTTTCTGACATGAAAGATTGTTTTAAGTAGTCTCTAAACAGCCAAAACTCTGTTTACTCAGTGTTAGGCTTTGGTGGTGACTAAGGTTTCCATATCAAGGGGAAATTAATTCAAACTAAGGTTTAAAGAGCTATCCAAGGTGCTGAACAGTACACCATAAAATATGTTCAGCACCTTGGATAACTTTGTGATTCATATTAGAAAATGAGTGGATTCTTTGCCCTACTGAAAATGGAAGTCGACAGGTCCCTCTATGGCGGAGTGTGTGAATATTTTTCCCGAAAACCCCACTTCTGCCCTGCACATAGGAACAAATAGTAAGTGCATTTACCCATGTGCAGAGTGGCTTTCCCTTCACATTCAGGGCTAGTTCACACAATGCTTTTAATTCACAAAAATGTTGGATTTTGGCTGAACTGTGTTACTAAAGGCTGAGTGGTGTTGTAAGCATAGTAACACTAAGCAATGAAGTCAATATACAACTTTCTCCTGCACCTTTTTCGTCCAGTTTTTTTTAACAACACACCCATCATCTAGTTGACATTAAACTAAGATAACAAACTGATTAAATGTTTGATTGAAAAACAGTTAGGTGTTTGACCTGTTCTTTTTAGACAACCAGTTCCTCAAATAGGAAAATCAATGATAGAAACAAGGCCTACGATATTGATTTGTGTGTTATTTACTGAAGCTTCAGGCAGGTTATATTTCTTTGGTGTGTACTTTACAGTCTCTTTTTGAATTACTAATCAATGCGCTGTCAGACAGCAACAATTACAGCTTTCCATTCTACTCCCCACCTCAGCGATTATTTGGATATGCAGGTGAGCTCATTCACATTAACAGTATGGGTGTTTAAAATGTTGTATCTCCGATAACTTTCTATTTAGGAAAGATGATTAATTAATCTAATTATAAGTTTGTTTTTTTAAAAATAGAGTCTTCCCTTTAAATTCCCAGCTTGGCATAAAGCTTGTGGTTGTTTCCATCCATTCACAGCTCTAGTGAGATCTGCTTTTCAGACTGGATCATTTCACCATCACATGTTCTTTTTTATGGTCTGGTAATGTGGTATTAAACATTGGGGAGTACTTGACACTAATAATACTGCTGAAGCTAAGCAAGGGATAATCTCTGCTTGGATGGGAGACTGAAAAAAAAAATCCCAGTTAAGGAGCTCTGGGATCTACAAAACGTACAGTAGTATTTGCTGGAATTTGATTCCAGAGGTCTACATGGATTTATTTATTTATTTATTTATTTACACCATTTCTACCCCCCTTCTTACCCCCGAGGGGGGACTCAGGGCAGCTAACACAGGCAGCAATTCGATGCCACAATATTAGTAACACAATATAAAATCATAATACATAGCAGGTTAAAAACAGTAACATTAATTATAATCACATAATCACATAGTCATATAATCATATAGTCACATAGTCACAAAGTCACATAGCAGTTTCCAATTGCCGTAACAGTCCTGTGGTCCGGGTTTAGTGTCTAAAGTGTTGCTGTGCTCACTAGCCAAAGGCCTGGCTCCAAAACCATGATTTTAGTTTTTTCCTAAAAGAAAGGAGGGAGGACACTGATCTAATCTTGCTGGGGAGAGAATTCTACAAGCAGGGGGCCACCACTGAGAAGGCCCTGTCCCTCGTCTCCACCAGACGCGTTTGCAAAGCCAGTGGGACCAAGAGCAGGGCCTCCCCAGTAGATCTTAAGTTACGAGGTGGAACGTAGAGGGGATACGTTCAGACAAGTAAGCTGGGCCGGAGCTGTATATTTATGGAACTCAACTTCCATTACATATAACAGCATAGTAAAATGGTGTCCCTTGTTTATAATGGCAAAATCAATGTTTGCTTTTGGAAATTTTAGCCAATATTTTAAAGCAGTGGATGGCTGAATCCATGGAGGTTATTTACTTACATCATACTTGTTGTCCAAGTATGATGGTCTTCCAAGCGTAGTGTCTTGGTGGTGGATATGTAAGTGACTGTGGAGTCCTATTATTGATCCACATGTTCTTCCACAGTGAGGGCATCAGTTTCCATGTGGAAGGCGGTCCTGGTCAGGGTTGGCTTGACACGTCTTCCTCTTGGCACATTTCTTCCTTTTGCCCTCCATTCGTGCCTCTTTGAATTCTGCAGCACTGCTGGTCACAGTTGACCTCCAGTTAGAGCTCTCAAGAGCCAGGGCTTCCCAGTTCTCGGTGTCTATGCCACAGTTTTTAAGGTTGGCTTTAAGCCCATCTTTAAATCTCTTTTCCTGTCCACCAACATTTCGTTTTCCGTTGAGCTGGGAGTATAATAACTGCTTTGGAAGATGGTGATTGGGAATTCAGACAATGTGGCCAGTCCAGCGGAATTGATGGCGGAGGACCATCACTTCAGTGCTGGTGGTCTTTGCTTCTTCCAGCACGCTGACATTTGTTTTCCCAAGAGGTCTGCAGGATTTGTTTTGAGGCAACGCTGATGGAATCGTTCCAGGAGTTGAGTGTGACGTCTATAGACAGTCCACATTTCACAGGCATATAATAAGGTTGGGAGGACAATAATTTTATAAACAAGCACCTTAGTATCTCTATGAATGTCCTGATCCTCAAACACTCTACTTCATTTGGGAAAAAATGCTGCGCTTGCAGTCAGGCAGTGTTGTATTTCAGTGTCAATGTTGCCTTTTGTGGAGTGGTGGCTGCCAAGGTCGCAGAAATGGTCAACATTTTCTAACATTACACCTTTAAGCTGTATTTCTGGCATTGCAGAGGGATTGGCTGCTAGAATCGTAGAGTTGTCAGAGACCTCATGGGCCATCCAGGCCAACCCCCTGGCAAGAAGCAGGAAAATTGAAATTAAAGTACCCCCGACAGATGGCCATCCAGCCTCTGTTTCAAAGCCTCCAAAGAAGGAGCCTCCACCACACTCCGGGGCAGAGAGTTCCACTGCCAAACAGCTCTCACAGTCAGGAAGTTCTTCCTAATGTTCAGGTTGAATCCCCTTTCTTGTAGTTTGAAGCCATTGTTCCACGTCCTAGTCTCCAGGGTAGCAGAAAACAAGCTTGCTCCCTCCACCCTATGACTTCCTCTCACATACTTATACATGGCCCTCATCATGTCTCCTCTCAGCCTTCTCTTCTTCAGGATAAACATGCCCAGCTCTTTAAGCCGCTCCTCATAGGGCTTGTTCTCCGGACCCTTGATCATTTTAGTCGCCCTCCTCTGGACACATTCCAACTTGTCAACATCTCCCTTCAATTGTGGTGTCTAGAATTGGACAAAGGATTCCAAGTGTGGTCTGACCAAGGCAGAATAGAGGGGTAGCATTACTGGATCTAGACACTATACTCCTATTGATGCAGGCCAAAATCCCATTGGCTTTTTTTTTTGCAGCCACATCATATTGTTGGCTCATGTTTAACTTGTTGTCCACAAGGACTCCAAGATCTTTTTCACACGTACTGCTCTCGAGCCAGGCATTGTCCCCCATTCTGTATCTTTGCATTTCATTTTTTCTGCCTGAGTGGAGTATCTTGCATTTGTCACTGTTGAACTTCATTTTGTTAGTTTTCTGTTAAGATTGTTTTGAATTCTTCTCCTGTCTTCTGGGATGAGCACTTCAATTTTCTCAACGTTCAGTGAGAGGCTGAGCTTCTCGTATGCTTTTGCAAAGTGTTAAAGTAGTTTGTAGGTCTTCTTCTGAATGCGCACAGACTATGTTATCATTGCCATACTGAAGTTCTATAACATATGTTGTTGTGACCTTGGCTTTGGCTTTCAGTCAGCTGAGGTTAAATAGCTTGCCATCTATCTGATAGATGATTTCCACTCCAGTGTGAAGCTTCCCATCAACAAGATGAAGTATCATAGCAATGAAGATGTAAAATAAGGTTGGGACAATAACACATCCCTGTTTGACACCTGATCCCACCTTAAATACTTACTTACTTAGGCGATCCCTTGTTGGCCAAGTAGGATAGTCTTCCAGGATCAGAATTCCTGTGAGTCTATAGATGGCTGTGGAGCCCTATTCTTGATCTGCATCTTCTTCCGCAGTGAGGGCATTGGTTTCCAGGTGGAAGGCGGTCTCGGTCAGGGTTGGCTTGACTTGCCTTCCTCTTGGCACGTTTCTCTCTTTCACCCTCCATTTGTGCCTCTTCAAATTCTGCAGCACTGCTGGCCACAGCTGACCTCCAGCTGGAGCGATCAAGGGCCAGGGCTTCCCAGTTCTCAGTGTCTATGCCAGAGTTTTTAAGGCTGGCTTTGAGCCCATCTTTAAATCTCTTTTCCTATGCAGTTATAGCACTATGATTCCACTTTAATTGCCAGGGCATCCTTCTGTGGAAGTCTAGTGTTTCTGTTTAGTGAGGCTCAAGAACTCTCTGGCTGAGAATTCAAAAAGTCCCAGTTCAAAAAGTACAAATACCAGGATTCCATATAATGTTGCCATGGCAGCTAAAGTGGAATAATAGCGCTATAAAAGTGTATTATGACAGAGTCCCTTCAACAAGTAAATGCAGGCTGAGCATCCCTTCCTTAGAATTCTGCAATACTCCAAAATCAGCTTCTATAGGTGGCTGAGAAAAGCACGCCTTTGCATTCTTGCCGTTCAATAGGTGGAGCCCTCAACCCTCTGGACCAATCAGATTAAAATATGCAAATCGACGCGGAACTGGAGAAGCTTTTCTTTCTGTAGCCGATTGAAGCCTTTTCGCCACTTTCCGCGCCGTCTTCTTTGCGTCGCGGATTCTGATTGGGCGGATAGTGCTTTCCTTGAGCCAATCAGGAATGGCAGGCTTTACTTCCCGCCTTTGAGCACTTTGAGCCTGTGGGAAGTTGTGTTTTGATTTTCCCTTTCTATCCAGAATTGCACCCCACCCACTTTTAATTAGTCATTTGCATCACTTTGGTTGGGACCAGAGAACAGCGTTAGAGGTAGGTTGGAATTATTATTTGGAATGAAACATCTAAAATGTGAAGGGATATACTAGTTATTTGCGTGCATCTGCACTGTAGAAATTAATGCAGTTTGACACCACTTTAGCTGCTTTGGCGCAATGCTATGAGATCCTGGGAGTTATGGTCTTACAAGGTATTTATCCTTCTCTGCCCAAGACTGCTCAGCAAACTACAAATCCCATGATTCCATAGCATGGAGCCATGGCAATTAAAATGGTGTCAAACTGCATTAAAGCTACAATGTAAATGCATCGCTAGAAAACATGCAATGACAATTCCAATAGCTCCAGTCCAGATCCTGGTTTTATTAGTTGGGGAATGGGCAGTGGCACTCTGCACATGCTCAGTGGTCCTCTGTGCTTGAACATAACTGTGCCAATGCAGTGATGATGATGATGATGATGATGATGATGATGATGATAATAAACGTTATTTATACCCCGCCACCATCTCCCCAGTGGGGACTCGGCAAGATTAATTCTTTAGACTGGCTGGTGCAGGTTGAATATCCCTTTCCCAAAATGCTGGAGGCCAGAAATATTTTGGATTTTGGAAATTCCTATATTTGCATATAGGAATTTCCCTTGGAGATGGGGCACAATTCCAAACATGAAACTAAATTTATATTTTACATGCACGTTCTACACATTGCCAGAAGGTCCTTTTATACAACACTTTAAATATTTTTTTGTGAATGACTCAAAGTCTGTGTTCATTGAAAGCAAAGGTTTCACTACCTCTGTCAGACATGTGGAGACTTTTGGATTATTTCCATTTTCAGAATTCTGGATAAGGAATGCTCAATAATTATTTATTACTAGGTGTGAAGTAGTTACATATTCTGCTGGAAGTAAAAGTATGATAGCTGGGACCCAGTGTTGGTTGCGCAACGCAGCTCTCGCAAGACAGCACACCAAGTGAGAGATGCAGCTGCGGGAGGATACCAGTGAAGTAATGTAACACAGGTGGGACAGGATAACAGTGAAGTAATGTAACAGTAACCGGACTTAATTCATTTTTCACCACTGCTTGTATTTCTCCCTGCCTTTTTATCCTTCCTTCCAATACAACTACGTTTTTGAACATGTTTGCATAGGATCTCCAGATAGCCTACATCGCTATGCTTGCCTGTTTCCCTTCTACTGAACTACCTTGTCAACTCTGTCACAGCTGAGTCTCTCACAGCATCCAGTCTCTCGTGCACATGGTGCTGTTTTGTGTGCATGTGTTTCCTTCTCTAATTCACAGCCACGTTACGCAACCAGCATAGTGCTACCAGCACTGGGTCCCAGATATCATACTTTCACCCTGCAGGGGTCTTCAGAGGATGTAGTAGTGAATATAATGCATTTTGGGATTGACTGGACAATGAACCAGTTACTTTCCTGGTTTCTGTCCTTCCTAACATGCAATGATCGGGTTGTGGGGGGGGGAGGGGGCGCAGAAAATCTTCAGTGATGGCCATCAGGGTTTGGTTGGCAGACAGAAAAAGAATACCAAACTCCACAATGATCAAAAAGAGACATACACAGGTGGAGAAGGCTGTGTGGTGACGTTCTGTGAGGAGCTGAGGGTCGCACTCCTCTCCTTCCTTCATTCAGCCAAGGAGAGACCATGATGCGGGCCTGTCAGTGTGTGAGGAGCACCACGGCTCAGAATTGTCTGTGCGGTAAAACCTCACTCCGTCCTTTATGTCTATATCTTGGATATTCAGCATCTGGATAATCTGGTGTCTCTTCAGGCAAAATTATTGGTGCCAGTGTTTTGTTTGTTGGTGGAGGAATAGGTGGAACTATTTTATATGCCAACTATGATCCATACTTTTGGGAGAATGTAGAAAAGACCATTCCTTATTCCAATAATGCCTTTGAAATGGTGCTGGGTCCTCCTCCTTACAGAATTCCAACACCAAAGAAACCAATACAACCAGGGCTACTAAAACATTCCTCTGTAGCAGAAGCAATGAAAGAATCAAAACAATCTGCTGTCAAATCTGAAAAGAGTAAAACAGAGATACCTTCAATTGCTGATGAAGATTAAGAAGTCCACTCTGAGGTAGCGTAGATAATCTCAGCAACAGGTGAAGCTGTGTCATTTCCAGCTCCAGGGATACAGAAAAAGGATCAAAGCAAAAGTGTGCTTATCCTGAAGGAAAACACACACTTCCCGACTTAGGTAAAGGACATACACAGGTGTCATCTGACTAACACCTATGATGATAAGAACAAGAAACCAGCCAAAGATTGGTTGGTTAAAAAGATGCAGCCACCCTATTGACCTCTGGTCTGTACAGGTCCATGCGACAAAGCAATCAATATTTGCAGTTTTGCACAACTGTTTCATTTGGGCAAAAAGAAAAAAATGTGTTTATTCTCATTCTTTAATTTAAAGTGCCACAAAATCCTTTGCCCTCTCGTAGAGCAAGAAGCATCACTTTGCCGTTCCTCATCCCTGGGCAGTAAAAGTATTTGGTACTGAAATATTGTTTAGTATTATGTCTTAGGAAGCTCCATGCAGTCATGCCGGCCACATGACCTTGGAGGTGTCTATGGACAACACCAGTTCTTCGGCTTAGAAATGGAGATGAGCACCACACCCCAGAGTCAGACATGACTGCACTTAATGTCAGGGGACAACCTTTACCTTTTATTATGTCTTAACCAGAGCAATGTGACTATTACTCTTGCCTTAGACTTCCCAAAGAGAATAGTAAAGCACTTCCGTTGTGAAAACAGTTAGTTTTTCTTCTTTTTTTTGCCTTAAACATGTGCAAATGTTTTGTTTGTTTTAATAGGAGCCATGGCTGCTGGAACAGCACTCATATATGACGATGAAATGAGAAACCATAAGCTAATGTGGGATGAGTAAGTTAATTTCTAGCTATGTTTTAAACTGCAATGAACATTGCTTTAAATGGAAAGGAAATTGCATGGCTGACTTGAGTTTCCCGTATCGCAGTGTTTCTCAACCTGGGGATCAGGACCCTGGGGGAGGGGGGGAGGGTCACCAGGGTGTGTCAGAAGGGTCGCCAAAGATCATCAGAAAATAATATTTTCTGTTGGTCATGGGGGTTCTGTGTGGGAAGTTTGGCCCAATTCTATCGTTGGTGGGGTTCAGAATTCTCTTTGATTGTAGGTGAGCTATAAATCCCAGCAACTACAACTCCCAAATGTCAAGGTCTCTTTCCCCCAAACTCCACTAGTGTTCACATTTGAACGTATTGAATATTCGTGCAAAGTTGAATCTACAGTGCTCTCTGGAGGTAGGTGAACTACAACTCCAAAACTCAAGGTCAGTACCCACCAAACCCTTTCAGTATTTTTTGTTGGTCATGGGAGTTCTGTGTGCCAAGTTTGGTTCAGTTTCATCGTTGGTAGAGTTCAGAATGCTCTTTGATTGTAGGTGAACTATAAATTCCCAGCAGCTACAACTCTCAAATAACAACATCAAATTTGGGCATATCAGATATTTACATTACGATTCATAACAGTAGAAAAATTACAGTTATGATGTAGCAACAAAAATAATTTTATGGCTGAGGCTCACCACAACATGAGAAACTGTATTAAGGGGTTGCGGCATTCAGAAGGTTGAGAAACACTGCTATATCGGGAAAAAGATGGAATAAAAATAAACTAGATAATAGTAATAATAACGATGATGGTGATGATGTGTAATCTGCTTTTCTGCCAAATAACCTATGTTTTGCAGCATTATTACATGTCTTTCAACTGGAAAGGTGTCTTGATGGATTGCACCTCCCATGGGGAACCTTTATTAGAACTGGAGTCCAAATACATCTATAGATCTGCAGTTGCCCTCCCCTGCTTTAATAAACAATGAATGGCTCAACTTAGAGAGTATGAACAGTCATCCAGAATGAAATTTGGACTTTGAACTTACCTTCAAGCATTTCCTGGATTTGGTATTGATTTTCAGAATCACTGCTGAGAAAAAAAGCACTCAACTCCAATCTCCAGCAGATAGATGTGCAACAGGCTGCGACTCGGAAGTTTAATAACAGTGTCCATGAAAGAGAAATACAGTAACATGCTCTATCCAGCTTGCTCCTCAGGACTGAATTCTTAATCATTGCACTTATCTAGTATCTTGAGTCAGAGATCCCTTGCTTTGCCCTTGCTCTTGTTTTTTTTTTTATCTATCAGCAAACAGTCCTTCCTCCACATGTCCCCTGTTATTTCCATACTAAAAATTAATGTGTACTGTTGGGCACACTTATTTGGCCAGATATGAACTGTTCAAAAATATCAACTGTGGTAAGTGTTAGGTCTGAGAAGAGACTTAAATTTGGTTCTGCCAAAGCGTTGCTATCATTCTGAGGAAATGGAGATAGCATCTGGAAGGTGGTACTTATTTTTGACACCAGGAAGTGATTGATGGTTGTATCTATGTTTGGGTTTACAGTTGTTCTGTTTTTTTAGCATGATTGGAGATAATTAAAAAAAAAACCACAAACAAACCAAAACCCAAAACCTGTTTCTTTTGAAAAGCAATTCATTTTTTGTTCAAATTAGTTTTTTTTTGGATTCATGAAAAATATGAATTTTATTTAAATTAATACTATGAAACATGTTATGCATTAGAAAACTTGATCATACATATAGACCACATGTGTCAAAGTCAATGCTCGCCAGCCAAATCTGGCCCAACATGTCATTTTCTGTGGCCCTCCAGATGCTGGACTGCAACCCCTGGTTTCCTCATCATTACATTTCATTACTAGAGCTGATGGGAATTGTAGTACAGTAACATCTGGAAAGCTGCAGTTTGTTCTGTTTAGTTAGGAGAGTGGAGTTCGAATTACAATATAGAATCATAGAATCATAGAGTTGGAAGAAACCTCATGGGCCATCCAGTCCAACCCCCTGCCAAGAAGCAGGAATATTGCATTCAAAGCACCCCTGACAGATGGCCATCCAGCCTCTGCTTAAAAGCTTCCAAAGAAGGAGCCTCCACCACACTCTGGGGCAAAGTTCTACTGCTGAACGGCTCTCTTAAAGAAAAGGTTTGTCCTTCACATTAAGTCTAGTCGTATCCTACTCTTGGGGGTGGTGCTCATCTCCATTTCTAAGCTGAAGAGCCGACGTTGTCCATAGACACCTCCAAGGCCATGTGGCCAGCATGACTGCATGGAGCGCAGTTACGATATGATGCCTGAGTTTAAAATATCCTTTAACCTTTCTCTAATCTCAGTGCCACAAGTACTGTTGGTTTGTGATTTGCATTATCTCCAGTCTGCATGGTGGATAATCAAAAGTGATGGGAGTTGTCTGTTCGTCTGGAGACCCAAATTGGGTCAAAACTAAAGAGCACTGACTACTATGTAAAAAAAATTATAGTTGGACCTCTGTATCCATGGACTCAACAGCTCTTTGAAGGCAGCCATAAGGCTGGTGTGGCCCTCAATGTACATTAGTTTGACACCCTGATGCAGATGATAATAAAACATATGAAGTCCTCTTAGATTAAAATAAGAATAATATAAGTTAATGTTAAGCATTAGTCTTACTTGTAATATTATTTTTTTCTTTTTAAAGTGCTGTTTTAAAGCAATTTGTTTGAAGGATTGTTAGTGGAAGGATTTGATTTTGAATGGGTTTTCTTATTGTGTAAAATAAAGTGATTAAAAAGACGCCATTGACGCTGGATACTGGTTTCACAGGGAGCTCTGGCATGGAATATTAGGAATATTAGGAATATTAGCATTATAATATTATATTATAATATTAGGAATATTCTGGCATGGAATATTAGGAATATTAGAAAATAGTCAAAATAGTCAGTTTTCTTTAAAAGCAATAAAAATAAACCAGATTTGTTTTGTTTTTGTTTTTAAAGTAATTTGGTTTAAATCAACTTGGCTTCACCAGCCAACCCTGTTTTTAGACAGAGCTTTAAAGGAGATATCAACTGTATCCATCCTATTTTGAAGATAGGATTCAGCACCTTGGATAGCTCCTTTACAGTTCAAACTAAAGCTAAGGGTGGATTCCTCACTCCAATAAGATGGAAGACATCAGCTGCCAGGATAATAGAAAAAGATTTTAAAAATAAAATTAGAGAAGAGTGGCAGGATTGTGGGTGCTGAGGGAATAATCGGGTGTCTTGATGCCCGTGGGCACCCTGTGTTGTGTCCCAGTGAAAGCATTTTTAATAAAATGATTGATCAAGTATTCCAACCCAATATTTTTTTCAGTATTTATTTTCCACTTCAATTTCTCAGTCTAGGAAAAAAAACCCAAAAGAAACGTGTTCCTTTTTTCTCAGCAGTGATACAGATGGCTCTCTTATACCTTTGCTGCAAAAAGAAAATATATGTTTGTTTGTTTTTTAGTCCAGTCTGTGTGATTGAAGTACCTGAGAGACTCTCTTCTTGCTATGAGCACCTTCAGGGTTATAATCTGATCGAAAGATGCACATCTATACCTGTCAGAGAAGCCACTGAAGATGAAATCATGCTGGTTCACAGGTCTGCACTAATATATAATGTATTTCCATCTCAGTCTCTGAGAAATAATAGAAAGGGCTTTCACTTCTAGATCTTTTTCTTAAAATTTACTCATATAGTTTGTTCATATAATGAAAGAACCCAAACCAAGACCTATTGCTCTTCCATGGGCAATGAAATCCCTGCCTATTGTGAAACATTAATGAAGCCCCAAAGTGGAAGATGGGAAGAGCTTCCTTTGGATCAGGTTAGTGGGAAAGGTACGAGGAACAACTCAAGGCCAACACAGATTAGCCTAACTTCAAACTTAAATTTTTTCAGTGGGTTTTGGAACTGCTATTATTATTATTATTATTATTATTATTATTATTATTATTATTATACATACCCTGCTTTATCTCTTCAAAGGGAACTCAAAGCAGCAAAGTACAGTGTGGCCTTTAGTATCCACTGTGGTTTATTTCCTGGATCCACTATGGATACCAAGATCCATGGACGCTCAAGTCCCATTATATACAATAGCATAGTAAAATAATGCCCCATATACAAAATGGCAAAATAAAGACTTGCTTACTGGATTTTTTTTTTAAATCAGGTGATGGATGTTTGAATCCGTGGATTTAGAAATCTGTTTATGCGAAATCCATGGATATGGTGTGATGACTATAGCACCAAATTGGCTAATGAGACAAAAAGCTATGGTTCACATGTTTTCTTCAGTTTCCTAGTTCAGCTGCATAATTCATGGGAGGATTTAGGCCAGTTCTCTCATAGCTTTATATTCCTTATCATTACTGTTGTTCTAAGGATTGATAGGAAGTGTAACATATGTGTGCCATACTGAATGCCTTGGTGGAACACAATCTATAAAGTCATTTAAAATCAGATCATATATTGTTGATAATACTGGACATACATTGTCACTTTTAGCTGTCATGGCTGAAAGTACGACTGTGGGATTGATATCCAAATTGGAAACCAATTTTTAGAACTTGACGTTTGTTGAAAGATTGTTTTCAGACACAAAGTTGAAATCATAGTTCTTGCTGAGGTGGTTTGCCATTTCATGGCTTAGATGAAACAAAGTGATTATTAACTTATTAAGGTAAAGGTTTCCCCTTGACATTAAGTCTAGTTGTGTCCGACTCTGGGGGGTGGTTCTAATCTCCATTTCTAAGCCAAAGAGTCGGCGTTGTCCATAGATACCTCCTAGGTCATGTGGCCGGCATGACTGTATGGAGTGCCGTTACCTTCCCGCTAAAGCGGAAGCTATTGATCTACTCACATTTGCATGTTTTTTGACTGCTGGTTTGGCAGAAGCTGGGGCTAACAATGGAAGCTCACCCTGTCCCACAGATTTGAACTGCTGACCTTCCAGTCAGAAAGTTCTGCAGCTTAGTGGTTTAACCTGCTATGCCACCGCGGCCCCTAAATTTTAAATACCTTGTTATTTGAAACGATCTCGTCTTTAAACTAATTGCTGCATTTGACCCTTGTCAGGGATCGGAACATCAGTAAGAATGCAGATCATGGGAAAAGACATAAAGTATATACTGTCTATCAAAAAAATGAATTAATTGAATTGCTGATCATACTAATAAAAAGTATGAGTAAGCTAGACACCAGAAAAGCCAAGACACACAATAATGCTACTGTCGTAGTTGATACCTCATAACTGAATAGTTCATCATATCAAGTCCTGTTATGATTTTGACAAACAACCTTGGAGCCCTAGCAATTTTTCCCCTTCTATGTTTTAGTTCCCAAACCATTAGAGGTATCAGATGCTGCTGTCAGAAATATCTCCCAGCAATATTTCAACAATTTGTCGAAATGCCAATCTTCTCAGATGCTGATAGAGAAAAGATAATGAAAGCAAATCTCTTTGTGTTGACTGAAGCAGTGTTTCTCATACGGTGAAATACCATTGTGGCTGCATTTATCATTAATTGTCACTAACTGTGGTGGGTAATATTCCTTTTCTCTTCTAATAATCTAAAAATGATCCAAAATATCCTTGCCAGAACTTCTCACTGTTTGAGCACCGAGAATAGATTTGTCTCAACTTAGAATTACAATGACATAATTTTGCCACCGCAAAATGCAATTCACTTTTCCATATAGGCGCAGTTCTGAGCCAGTCCTCACTTGAGCTCATAGTAAAAGCCTAGTATTGTCAACCTGCCCATAATCTGGTTATATGTGTAGATCGAGGAGTAACTATGTTTTGTCCACAATCTGAAGCTTTCCTTTCTCTTTCCAGTTCAGACTACTTGGAAATTGTAAAAAGCACTGAGAAAATGAAGAAAGAAGAACTCCAGAAAATCTCCACTGATTTTGATGCTGTTTACTTCCATCCAGTACGCAAGAACAATCATTATCCACACACACACACACACACACACACATATATACTAGGCATGTGCAATCCATGGTTCTAAATGGTTATAAAGTACTTACAAAACTAAAGTTCTGGTGGTGAAAACTAGGGGGCTCTGGTGCTTTGCTTCTACAGTGTTGCTAAAGTTCTGGTGGTGAAAATTTCAGAACTCTAACAAAACTTTCAAAATTTCATTATTTCATTATTGGTGATTTTTATGACAGAACCTATTAGGACAGCTATACAATATCCCAGAGTACTTGTAGGGTATCAGCACAAACACAAAACAGTCTATGTATAATGTCAAAATATAATGTCAAAAGAGCATATAGTATGCTATTTAACAAAATCCCGAGTATATAGCTCAATTCAGTGGCCCAAAACAAAATCAAAAGGAGCAACCGCTCTCAAATGTAACAGTTCCAGGTCTGAACAAGGGTACCACTGTATATAGGCTTCAGGGATACATACAATGAGATAAATCATACACAAAGTAAGCATAGAGTCATGAGGCTATATGTATACTGAAGTCAATAATGAAGATGGAGCACCACTCTCAAAAATCTTCATGGAATAAATCCAAATTAAGTCCAGTGAAAATGGAGCACTGCTTCTCAAAATAAGTCTCTGTAGGAAAAGTCCGAATGGCATTCAACAGGGGTGCCCGGGTATTTTTGTACCCTGTTTCGGGGAAAGCAGTCCCCTTCCTCAGGAGTTGATAAATTCAGCAACTCTAGACTCTTATCTATAATAAAACATAACATCACATAGAGTAACAAGTATTTTCCAGCACAATTACAGTAGTAAAGATAATGGATACAACAAACATATAACATATACTCACATCATGCCAGGTAGCTAATACAAAAAGTGACTCTGCTAGAAGTAAATTCACACTGCGAGTAATTCTGAAGGGTCATCCACAGGTTTATAAAGAGTAGTTAGAAACTTAAAGGAAACAGCTAAAATTAAGTGACTCGTTAAGTCCTTGAGGGGAAAGGGTTTTCAACTTAAAGATCCAGAACATTTCCCTTTGGGATAGTAGTTCTTCCAAATCCATATGGGGTTTTGGTGTGATGCATTCCAGAGCACAAAATTTAAGGGAATTGGATGAATGTTTGTATTGTGTAAAGTGTGAATATAGAAGGGACTCCATAGATAAACATTTTATTCTAGATTTATGTTCAGAAATTCTAATTCTCAGAGGTCTGGTTGTTTTTCCAATATACCACAAACCACAGTCACATGTTAGAAGGTAGATAAGGTTACTGCTATTACAATTGGAAAAATGTTTGAGTGTGGTGCCCACTTTGTTCCTATAGTTGTGTACCTCCTTAGTTTTCCATGATTGCGGACAACATTTACAGCGTCCACCAAGGACTGACGATGCACAGTGGTAATGGTATAGTATCTATTCAAACCAAAACTGGGAGCTTTCTAATCCAGTGACTCTTAAACTATCTGATGTGGGAGACAACAAAGTATGCAAAGGCTCCTCGATGTGCCCATTGACAACAGCTGTTTCCTTCTTTTGTGAAAACTCCTGGATGCTCTCCTGGTAATGACCCCAAGGCCCCTTCTGCACTGCCATATAATCCAGGTTATCAAAGCAGAAAATCCACATTATCTAATTTGAACTGGATTATCTCAGTCTACACTGCCATATAATCCAGTTCAAAACAGATAATCTGGATTTTATATGGCAGTGTAGAAGTGGCTTGATAAAACTGACCCGACCTTTAAAGATTAGAAGAGGTTAGGTAACTGGTCTCAACTTGATGGGTTCACTGACTGTATTCCAGCCCAGGAAATGGATCTATTAGGGACCAATGTTTTGTTTTGGTTTTTTTTATTGGGGAGAACTCAACAGATGGTGGCTGTGACCAAAAAGAAAAAGCTTCATTCAGTGAGGGACGTGAGCTAACTTTACCTTTGCCATGAGTTTTATTGTTGCATGCTGTTGGATATCTGCATTTAATCAATAAGCCCTTGTTTTGCTGCACCTGTGACTATGTTTCATTTTGACAGATCCTTGAGCCTGAGTTGGCCTGGGAACTGAATGGATTAGGGTCCTGGCATCATAATAGTAGCACTACAAAGCAGTATTTTGTTGCAAGTCCTATTTATGTGCTTCCAAAGGTTTATTCTTTTCAGAAACTGCAGTTAAAAATGAGTCGTGACATTTCTTGTTCTTTAGACTACGTACCGCTGTGCCAAATTGGCTGCCGGAGCCACACTGGAACTGGTGGATGCCGTGATGTCGGGAAGAACGCGTAACGGGATGGCTTTAGTAAGGTAAACAATGTGGAAGGCGCTTCTTAACAAAACACCTTGGTATCCTCCAAGTCAGTGAATGGCTTAATAACTACAACATGTTGATTTGCAGGCCTCCAGGTCACCACAGCCAGAGAAATGCAGCCAATGGCTTCTGCATATTCAACAATGTTGCAATTGCTGCAAAATATGCCCAAAAGAAATACGGTCTTGAGCGGTTGAGTATATATTTGCCGTTTTATTGATTTCCTTCTTACTTCAATGTTTCTTGCTCTTCTAGTTAATATTGTTATTGATGGTCCTTGCAGGATTCTTATTGTTGACTGGGATGTACATCATGGCCAAGGAATTCAGTATATATTTGATGAAGATCCAAGGTTTGTCAGTTCTTCAATTTTGTATATTTGGGGCAACTTTGACTATTTCTTTTTTTCAAAACACTCATATTGTTGGAAATGAGTTATAACATTACCTTTGAAACAAACCAGCAAGTCCTAACAATATTTCACCAGGTGGTTCCATTGAAATGAAAATACGCACAATTATTAAAACAGACGATCATCCTAATACTAGAAAATGTATCTCTACGTCTATCTACTTCTCTATCTAGTTATCAGTCTGTGTATATACATATGTTGTATTACTAATTTGTATGCTCTATGTTCAATAAATACTCCATATGCCATCAGCAGTTACTGTATGTCCTGTTGGTAAAGTTCTGATAGTATGAATAGATGAGTGCATATTCTTTCTTAATCACTGCAGAAAGAGGTATCCACTGCCTCTTTGCGCAACAGCCTTCTTGTACACACATCCAGCTTTAAAGTGTAAGGCACAGAAAAGTAACTTGGTCCACGCTATGGTTACATCGAGAATAGACTACTGCAACAGGCTCTATGTGAGGTTGCCTTTGAAGACTGTTCAGAAATTTCAAGTAGTCCAATGGACAGCCAGATTTCTCACTTGAGCGAGGTACAGGGAGCACACAACTCCTCTGTTACATCGGTTCCACTGACTGCCAGTCTGCTACCAAGCACAATTCAAATTGCTGGCTTTAGCCTATAAACCCTAAATGGTTCCGGCCCAGCTTACCTGTCTGAACTTACCTCCCTCTATGAGCCAGCTAGGAGGTTAAGATTGTCTGGGAAGGCTCTGCTCTCGGTCCCACCTCCTTTGCAGGTGCGATTGATGGGGATGAGAGACAGGGGCTTCTCAGTGGTGGCCCCTCAACTTTGAAACTCCTTCCCTAATGAAATCAGATCAGTCCCCTTCCTCCTGACCTTTAGGAAAAGGCTAAAGACGTGGATGTGGGATCAATCGTTTGGTCAGTAACCCACTAGAGAATATGGAATAGTGCAATGACAATTTAGAATGGCCATGGATTATGATTTTGGATAACATGATTATAATAAGTGTTTTAAGGTTTGATATGTTTTAATGACTGATTTAATGTATATACTTGTTTTATTATCTACGTATGTCAACATGGTATCAAATAGTTGCCTATATATGTGAGTTGCAGGGAAAAGAGGGGTATAAATACAGTAAATAAATAAATTAACTTCTTTCAAGATCCATCTTTCCCGGTATGAAGCTAACCACTCCTTTCCATTGATTTCAATAACTCTCTGCAGTGTTATATTTGTAAAAACTGTTAGGTGCTATAAGGTTGTATAATTGTAGTCCCAAATTGTACTCCAATGAAAGAGTCTTCCTTAGAGGTGGAAAACCACCATGAGTGAAGTCCCAATGGTTTCCTTCCCCTGTTTATTTTTACCTTGTCATTGTTTGAAGAATTTCTGGCTTATTCCATGCTGGCCTTATTAAACAAGCAAACTTCTTTTCTGTTTGGGCTAAGTGCAAGCCATTGGATAGAAAATGGGACTTTAAAATAAGTTCATTTGGATCTTGCCTCAGCTGTTTTAGTTCTAGGTGAATTTGCGGACCCAGCATTGAAAGTGGTTTACTTACTTGGCGTAATGACAGTCAACCAGTAATTCTTGATTTTGCACATGTTCTTAGTGTGTGGTGCTTCCAATTCTTTAGACATGACAGTCAGGCAGTGTAGAGCAACTCCAGATGCTCTATATTAATATCGCTAACCATTTTTTGCTTTTTCTTGTTGCCAGTGTTCTTTATTTTTCCTGGCATCGATTTGAACACCAGCAGTTCTGGCCTTCTCTCAAAGAATCGGATTATGATGCCGTTGGACAAGGAAAAGGGAAAGGATTCAACATAAATGTACCTTGGAATAAGGTGAATGTCACATGCTGTCATAACATAATAATGCAAAAGCAATGAATTCTAACAATCATCAATTGAGTGCAAGATTACAAGAAAGAAAGAAAGAAAGAAAGAAAGAAAGAAAGAAAGAAAGAAAGAAAGAAAGGGAAAGGAAAAGGGAAAGGAAAAGGAAAAGGAAAAGGAAAAGGAAAAGGAAAAAGGAAAAGGAAAAGGAAAAGGAAAAGGAAAAGGGGAAGGAAAAGGGGAAGGAAAAGGGGAAGGGAAAGGAAAGGGAAAGGAAAGGGAAAGGAAAGGAAAGGAAAGGAAAGGAAAGGAAAGGAAAGGAAAGGAAAGGAAAGGAAAAGGAAAGGAGCCATAGCACACATTCAGTGCATAGCTAAGATCCTACTCTCTTAATGGCATGGGTAATGTAATGAAAACATTATCATTCTTCTTCTTGTGTGTTGGAACATTAAATATGGGCATTAAATATGTGGATGTTGGAACATTAAATATGTGCATTTTGTTTCAGAGTACAGTAAAACTCCTATAGCTATGGGGAATACATTCTTGCCCGGACCACAGTTTCCTGAAACCAGAGATATGACCAAACACCATAAACCTGAATTTTTTGACCTCCATTTTCCTCTGTGCATCTTGTATTTTAGTAGTATTTTATCTCTTTCTTTTAACCATTTTGTAACCCAAAATGCAAGGGGCAATGGATAATAAAAGTATTATTATTATTAATAATAATATTGTTATTATTTGATACACAACAAGATTAATACACAGCAAACAAGATCACGATGCTGGCTTTTGTATTTGATCACACATTGGACACTTCCCAAGTGTTTAGGACTGTGTGATGTATCAGTGAACAATGTGTGCAGATCCAAATAGGGTGGCCTTTTGCTGCTGACAGATGGCAATTTTGTCAGTGCTGATTGTTTTTAAGTGCAGGCCAAGGTCTTTAGGCACTGCACCCAGTGTGCCAATCACCACTGGGACCAGTTATATCAGTTCTATCTTTAAATCCTCATATTGTGTGAGCTTTTCCAGTTGCTTCTCATCAATTCTGCTGTCACCTGGGATTGCAACATTGACGATCCATACTTTTTTCCCATGATTGTGAAGTCCGGAGTATTGTATCAAATCAGCTGCCTTCTGGTCCTAGCCTACGACAACATTGTGCTAGACACAGGTATCCTCTCAAGGAATTTGTTAGGTCCTCCAGCATCGCTATATGGTAACTTACGGAGAAACACCACAAAGTCACCTGGAAGACCTAGAAAATTCCTAGAGAGACAATTTTTCCATTGAATCCTGTGGTTACAGGGGTCTTACTGTATGCATTTCATATTTGATCATGCTGGTAATTATAGGGCCACATCTCTTCCCTGCTTCCCTACTTTAACCCACTTTTCCAGATGTCTTTGTGGTATTCCAAGGCCACTTAACACTTTCAATCTTTATTGCGTTTTCTTCGTTGGTTTTGTAGGTTGGAATGAGAAATGCGGATTATGTTGCAGTCTTCCTTCATGTATTGCTCCCATTGGTTTTTGAGGTAATTTTTCATTCTGATTAAAAATAAAAAATAAAAGTGCAGCGCTTGCCTGAGTAAAATGCGTCTTGTACCCACCGAAGCACATCCCTTCTACTGTCATCTTCAGAAATAATATTCAACCAAGGTAATTATTTTTAAAGGTTATGCTGCTGCTTTTAAAAAAAGCCGTCTGCATGGGCGATTAAAGCTGTCAGATAAGAAAAGACCAACTGGTGTATCGACTAGGGAAATAAACAAATGTATAACTGAGGAGAACAAATAGAGACTTTGAGGTGTTAATAACATGAGGGACGCGTAAAATTGGAAGCTCATTCTCTTAGTAGAGGCGTCAGACGAGGTTTAACCTTGGGGGAGGTCCCTGGGCTAAATGTTGAGGAGTGAGCTATGTGTATGGAAGGGAGAGAGAGAAAAGGGAGAATGTTTAAGACTGTCACAATTCTTTCCCTTTCAATTCAAAACGGGAACAGAAATTGTATGCAATGCCAAGATCCCTAACCTCAATTGGAATATTTTAAATAAAATATTGCATCTCCGTTCTAGAGGTGCATCTACAATCGCCTCCACATTTGTGGTTTTGACTTTTGCAGATTTGATTATTAATGGATTTGTTTTTAAAATGTTCTCTCTGGGGATCTCTTGGTTTTCCAGCATGACTCTTATGGTCAGTTCATGTTGGAGGATATATAGATTTCTAGAGAGAACACCTTTCTAGGGATCTCTAGGTCCTCCAATGCAATTCTGTGGCCAACGTCCAGCAAACACTGACCATAGAATCATGATGGAAGACTTGGAAATTCCTAGAGAGGTGTTCTCTTAGGTTAAAAAAAGCAATTTCTTTATTTATGGTTTTTCATGGGGGTCCTGTTGGCCCAGACCTAGTAAATGTTGAAGGTTGGCTGTACATTGTATGATTGTGATGTTGTTTGTTGCATGTGTTTTTGGTTTTATTTTGCTGTAATTTGTTGATTAGGCTTGGTCTCATGTAAGCCGCACCGAGTCCCCGTTGGGGAGATGGTGGCAGGGTATAAATAAAGTTTATAAAGATTATTATTATTATTATTATTATTATTATTATTATTATTATTATTATTATGCAGTCTTACATGCAGTTTATCTGCCCTAAGTCCCGTTAATCTTCCCTGAGTCCCCTTCGGGAGAGAAGGCAGAATATAAATAAAGTGTTACTATTATCATTAAAGTTAAAGGTAAAGGTTTCTCCTGACATTAAGTCTAGTTGTGTCTGACTCTGGGGAGTGGTGCTCAACGCCATTTCTATGCTGAAGAGCCAGCGTTGTCTGTAGACACCTCCAGGGTTATGTAGCCGGCATGACTGCATGGAGTGCCGTTACTATTTAATAATATCTGCACTATTTATCATTGCTATATTATTATTACACTACTTTCACTGCCATAGCTCAATTCTATGGAATTTGCAGTTTGATGAGACACCAGCACCCTTTAGTAGAGAAGGTGGAAGGTGGAAGACCATGGCAAAACTACAACTCTTATAGCATTGAACTATGTTAGTTAAAGTAATGTACAAGGTGAAACAGTACCACAGAGGTTCACTCAGATCATTTCATGCATCCTCTTTTTCTTGTTGTGCCTTAAATAGTCCCCTTCTTGAAATCAGACGTTTACTGGTTCCTTTTTTTAATGGAGACTCTAAAAAGGTAAAGGTAGTCCCCTGACACTAAGTCGAGTCATGTCTAACTCTGGGGTGTGGTGCTCATCTCCATTTCTAAGCCGAAGAGCCAGCGTTGTCCGTAGACACCTCCAAGGTCATGTGGCCGGCATGACTGCATGGAGCGCCGTTACCTTCCCGCCGGAGCGGTACCTATTGATCTACTCACATTTGCATGTTTTCGAACTGCTAGGTTGGCAGTAGCTAGGGCTGACAGCGGAAGCTCACGCCGCTCCCCGGAATCGAACCTGCGACCTTTCGATCAACAAGCTCAGCAGCTCAGTGCTTTAACCCACTGAGCCACCGGGGGCCCCAATGGAGACTCTAGGGGATCCTAAAAGCAGTGTAGTTACAGTCTCCAGACCCTGTTTGACAATTTATCATTGCTTTATATCATCACTTCCCCATAGTTTTTCTCCAAGATAAAAAGAGGACAGGAGTAGGCAGAGGAAGACAGAATAAGAGGGAAGCTCTGTCTCTGTCCACAGCGACACGCAACTCTTTCAAAACAGCGCTCCCTCCAGGAAATATTAAGACAAATGGGATTTAAAGGAAGCCTGAGTTCTAAACATGATGGGTTACAAGGATTAGAAATACTTTTGAATAAGTCTTTGGCTAGATGCTACCGATCAGAGTAGATGGCAATGTGTATGATGGAGCAATGATTTTGTAATGTACAGTATAGTACTGAGAACAAAAGACATTTGAGACTGCTCAGTCCAGTTTAATAATCATATGCCAGTGAAGCATGTCCAAATGTTAGAATTGTAACACATTACTGGGAAATGTCTCTAGCTTCATCAGAGTCCACCTCAGTTAACTGCATAGAACTAATAACTGCATATAACAAAGTTCCTGCTTTGGAAGTGTTATTCCTGTTTAATTGTGCGGTATTTGCTTTGAAAGTAGCTGGTATACTCCAGAAACGCCATTTCTGTGGCTGCCCCAAACTATGTTGAATTGGTTGAAACTCTATGAGTTATTCATTGAAAAACTATAGCAAAATGTGCAACAGGATGTCCTGCAAAAAGTTTTTGCAGTTTAATACATTTTCCCATGTTTTTTAAATTATAGAACCAATAAGAAAATGACATTTATAACCCAGGAACAAATATTATGTTACATAGTGTAATGCATTGAAAGCATTGTTTTGAATTTGGTTTTTTTTTTTCTTTTAATCATAGTTTGATCCAGAGCTTGTTTTGGTCTCTGCTGGTTACGACTCTGGAATTGGGGATCCAGAGGTAAGCCGTTCTTGTAATCCAACTCCAAATATCATTCTCCCTGATTTTTGTTTTAAAATGAACATTTGTATAAGATTGGACAGAGGCGTTTCATGTTTGAAGTATTTGTTTCTTTGTTTCATCATTTTCTAGGGTGAGATGTGTGCTACACCTGAATGTTTTGCCCACCTGACTCATTTCCTAATGCATTTGGCAAAAGGGAAATTGTGTCTGGTTCTAGAGGTAAGATGTAAATAATATTTAGAATAGAATTCCCAGACTTTTGCTATGCATATTTCAAACACTATATTCCACTTAAACAACCTGTGGATTGGCAGCCAGACATCACAAGAGGCAGGCATCTCCTCAATCTGTCTGTTTGTTCAACTGTCTTTCCATCTATCCTCAGTTTTATATGACGTGTGAATGCAATCAAAGCAGAAGATTTTATTTATTTACAGTATTTATATTCTGCCCTTCTCACCCCAAAGGGGACTTAGGGCGGATCACAGAACACATATACAGCAAACATTCAATGTGGTTATTCACTGACAAGACAGACAACAACCCAGATAGAGGTATATCGGCTTTTCCCATCTTTCGGTGTCTTGGAGTTTGTGCTTGATTCCAGCAATTGGGGGTGGGGCTGAAGAGCCCTGTTCACAGACTTCCTCCTTTTGATCGAATTGCCAGCATTTTGTAGTATGTCCTTATGGGGCCATTAAAATACTTCCCTGCTAAGTGGTACCTATTTATCTACTCACAGCTGTTTTCAATCTACTAGGTGGGCAGTGAGCTGGGCTGAAGGTTGGGCGCTCACTCCCAAACCGGGCTTTGAACTGCCAACCTTTCAATTGGCAAAATTTATTGCAGCTGGTGATTAACCTGCTGTGCTAAAGGCCAGTCATATTGGCTAGTAAGTTTCTCCCAGTGGAGATCATTTACAGAGGCCCATCTCCTTCCATTCAATTGGGAGGCAGGACTTTTGCAAATTAGTCAAATGAGTTGGGAGGATTTCCCTTTAGTGCTAGCCCTGCATGTTCAAAAGGGAGACTTGGGAATTATCCTCCATGATTTAGGAACCTTACAGCCTTTTAAAATTAGATTCCCTTCTCTTGCATTTAGAACAGGAAGCAAGTTTTTACTTCAAGATCCTTGATGGTTTACATTAGGCATAAGTGTGTTTGAACATACCCAGTCATCTTTGCCATTTTCCCCCCTGGAATTGTCAACATTTATATGGAAATATTGAGATCTTTGACTCTCACTTTTCTTTCTTGGTGAAGAAACAGTGACAGAGATTTCCAATGCATTTTAGCAAAAAGATAGGAAACATTTATCCTTTCAGATGTTTTGGACCTTCTATTCATAAAACTCCCAGCGAACATGCCCAATGGTTATTCTCATACTAAAGGTGTAGACTATGAGCAAAGTATTGCACAAACATGATTGATAGCACAGCCCAGCCAAGCAAAATATTGGTGTTTTGGTTTTTAGGCCTGTTCCTGGGGTTATTTGGGATGCAGATTCAGAAAACTTCATTAGAGAGACTACATTAGTTCCTTAGATATGGTTATTGCGGTTTTCCCTGGCCAAGCAGATGAAGAGTGGGATATGGCATGTGTTCTGTATCTCAAAAACTAAAGCTTATAAAGGAAAACTGGACCCATGTTTGAAATTAGCAAATCAAATCTACCTAGAAACAGTTAACATTTGAGGCACCAAAATGTGTGTTAGCCAGTGTCATCAACCCATAACTCTCATTAATGATAAAATTTCAGATGATGAGAATAATAGTGATGATGATCATGATGATCGTGATCATGCTGATATGATAAAACCAACATTCAGATCACACCTTTCTTCTGTCATGGAACTCAGGGGTGCATACTTTGGGATTTCCAGGTAATCTCCTAACCTGGCATTATTTAAACACAGTAAAGTGTTTGTATCAGATGCTTTCAAACCATCTTTTGAGACCATTGCATACATGACCATCTGTTTGGATTACACTAACGACAAAATTGTGATACTGCAGTATCTTCTTTGTATTTATTTATGTATCTGATTTGTCCCGATGTGCCTTACATCCATTTCTTCGTATCTAGGGTGGATATCATCTGAGGTCACTCTCTGAATCAGTTTGCATGACTATAAAAACTCTGCTTGGAGATCCGTTGCCCTGTTTATCTGGAGAAATGGCACCATGCTTAAGGTATATGTCTGCATATCTGTGCATGTGCACACTTGCGTGCATATGAAAAGGATCATATACATGCAAGTGCATATGAAACTCAGATTAAAGCATTCTGCACCCCATTGATTCTAGATGAAGAATTAATCTTGTGGTTAGGTAGTCCCAAAGGGCCATGGTGGGGCAGTGGGTGAAACTGCTGAGCTGTGGAACTTGTTGGCCAAAAGGTCAGTGGTTCAAATCCACTGCTTTGAACTGGATTATCTGAGTCCACACTGCCATGTAATCCAGTTCAATATGGATTTTATATAGCTGTGTGGAAGGGGTTGAAATCATCACCCAGCCTGATTTGTCTCCCTGGAGGGTTGCAAGAGCTTATTGAAGGAAAACTGTTTTAAAGTGTGACTAACTATCTATTAAATAAACAATAAATCTCTTTTTATGTTTTGTATCTTTGTAAGTAGCTGGTGCAGATGTTGATGCTCAGTCAATTGAAAAATAATAATATAGGAATTGGATAGTTACTTATTTTTGAATGGGTGTTTACAGATAATTTCTTTCCTATTTTCTGTCTTTTGTGCAGTGCACTAGAATCAATCCATAATGTGAGAGCTGCACACAAGCCATACTGGAAATGTTTGCTGCATGAAGGTAATGGCAGATTAGTTTATTTATTTTCAAATGCAATGCAATTGATAACATGAATGTATTGAATACAATACAACTTCCATATCCACTGGAGCAGATCCCTGTTTTCCATACAGCAGTACCTAACTCCCTGCAAATGTGTCAGGACTCCAAAGCACACTCCTTCCTCTTCCCTTGAGAAAGAAGCCCAAAGTGTACAGAATCCTGCTTTCCCATAGCAGATCTGACACTCTCCATACACCATCTCTGACCTTCCCATGGAGCAGAGCATAATGGGTGAGCCAGACTCCTCTGGTCTGTCACATAGATTGAATCTTTTATAGGAAAATTCTGCTGATGTAGCAAATAATTGTCCTATTTGAAATTATCTTGAGTATTCACCTTCTGACATAGATGTTTGTCTTCAGGTAACGAATTATTGTGTTCTGGGTTTGACTTGAAAGAGCGTTGTCTTTGATTAATGTAAACAGAGATAATTTCCTTTATTTATTTATCTATTTATTTACGGCATTTATAGCCCGCCTTTTTCAGCCCTAAGGCAACTCAAGGCCGGTTACAGATTCCACGAATACCTGAAATTGCAAAGTCACCACACGTTCCAGGACTTTGACCAAAAAGGGGAGATTGGAAGCTGGCCAATAGAGTTAATCCAGTTTCTGGTCAGTAAATGTTGACATATAAACAGATGTAAACATTTATCTTATCATTGCCACATTTCCTTTTTTAAAAGAAATTTTATTAGATTATACATATACATTAAAAAAAGGAAAAGAAGAGAAAAATATATCTCAACTTTGGTTAATCCAGTTTCTGGTCAGCAAATGTTGACAGGTATAAACAGATGTAAACATTTATCTTATCATTGTCACAGTTCTTATAACAGTTTACTTTTCAGTAATTTAATTACAGTCCACCAAGCAGGCAGTTAATGATTTAGTCATTGCAGGCCTCAATATTCAGAATGGTGGCTCCAAAATTATTAACTCTCATTCATTCATCTTTCATTCAACTCCATTCATACCCACACATATCAAATTCACATTTATCACATCTGCACATTATATTTTTTGTGACTTACATACCTCATTTTAAATTAGAAGTGATTATATTTGGATTGGGGCTGTGGTTTGATGCTGCTATGGCAATGAATTTCAGTGACAGAGAGTTATCTCTAGGAGGTTGAAAGGAATACTTTGGCAACTCCACTCCCAAAAGTTGTCCATCCCTGATATAAAGTAATAATTTGGAACTAAAGTGTGAGTTTCAGAAATCTGTTCAGACTTGGAAGACATCTGGTAGTTTTGGGTATGTTACAATACACAGTCTTACAACATAGAGTCTCATCTGTTAAGAAAAAAGCTGCTTATGGTTTTTTCAAACACTGTTGTTATTTCCCAGGCACAACTCCATTGCAAGACCTCAGTACCAGATCCGACGTGACAGGGAAAGCAGAACCAGCACAAACTCCTCAAGAGGCAAAGAAAGATGAGGTCATTAAAACGAATAGATTTTTGGACCTACATATGAAAAACACTGCATCCTTGAAATCTCCTCTCAGAATAGCAGTAGCTCTTGATGAAAGTGATTCACATTTGCTACCACCGTCTGTTCAGCTCGAGAAGGGAACAGATGCAAAGGAGCTACAGACCATAAGCAGGTAAGCCATACTTTTGCTTGAGCCGTTGATATTAAGTACATACTACAGATTGCAATTACAGAAATAAGCAAATAAGGGCTTGTTAAATTGAAATGAATAGTAGGTTCTACCCTTGACATCATGCTCCGTCACTCAATGTCAGCATTAGTGCACATAGACATACAAACATCCCTCAAGGTTTCCTAAGTGGGTCAGGCTCACTTACATATTTTATTATGGCAAACTCAGATTGCAAAAGATTATCAGGTTACAGTGTAAGATACTTTTTAATGCAACAGCCTAACATCCCTCTGCAAATAATTCCCATCATTATTTCATACAGTACAATGGGTTAGTGAACAAGTCCCATTTTAAAGGTAAAATAATTATTTTAATGTGTTGTCAAAGGCTTTCATGGCCAGAATCACTAGGTTGCTGTGAGTTTTCTGGGCCATATGGCCAAGTTCCAGAAGCATTCTCTCCTGATGTTTCGCCCACATCTGTGGCAGGAATCCTCAGAAGTTGTGAGGTATATTGGAAACTAGACAAGGGAGATTTCTATATCTGTTGAAGGTCCAGGGTGGGAGAAAGAACTCTTGTTTGTTGGAGGCAAGTGTGAATGTTGCAATTAATCACCTTGATTAGCATTATTATGATTAGCATAATAATTGTGAGCAAAGGCCAATAATTATGAGTCATACAGAAAATGCATGTATGTTGAAGTTAAGGAGCAGAAGAAATATAAATGAGGAATATAGACCCATTCATCCATAACATGCTTCCATAGTCACCCTTTCTGGACCCTTCATTTATTTGAGGATTCTGATGCCAAAAGAGAATGAGTTGGAGAGAGAGAAAAAAACACCCAGTGTTTTCATAATTGTGGTTGAACATTTGGTTTCTTGTTGGCATCAAATGGTACTTGATGTGAAGCTGCCCGGATTCCCCCCTCGAGGGTGAGAAGGGTGGCGTACAAATGTAGGAAATAAATAAATAAATTACCAGGTCATTTCTTTTTGCTTCCTTTATAAGACAAGTACCATGGTGGCACAGCAGGGTAAACCGATGAGCTGCAGAACTTGCTGTTTGGAAGGTCAGCAGTTCGAATATGGGGAAGGAGTGAGCTGTTGTTAGGCCCAGCTTTTGCCAACCTAGCAGTTCAAAAACAGGAAGATAATGGCGTTCCGTGCAGTCATGCCGGCCACATGACCTTGGAGGCGTCTACAGACAATGCCAGCTCTTAGGCTTAGAATTGGAGATGAGCACCACTCCCCTGAGTCAGACACAACTAACTTAATGTCAAGGGGAAACCTTTACCTTACCTTATATGACAACCAAATAGTTGCATCTCTCTGCAGTAGTCTGGATTACAGCACCACCACCACCAACAACTGTCAAGTCTTTTTTAATTAGTCCATTTGCTTTGAATTTTTCAGCCAGGATTTCTCAGTCAAGGTTTCCTGGAACCCTAGAATACTATAAGAAGGCACTAGGAGTTCCTCAAGAGATCATGACTAGGAAAAAAAAAGTTAATTGGGATCAGATTGAAACCTATATGTTGATTAGCATTTGCCGTTTTCCAATTTTTCCAATTTGTAACAAGCATTCAAAAATATGTTTTACAGCGTATTTGATTCTAAACTTCTGAAAGAGGACAAGATCTTGAAGATGTTGGCTGTTCTGGGAAAAATAATTAAAAAGGAGGTAATGTCAGCTATAATAACTATACACCCCATGCTTTCTGATCGTTGTTAAGGCTAGTAATTATTACACTTTTTCTGCTTTGTTAAGCTGAAATGCGATTGTGAATGTAATAGAATGCAGAATGTTTTGCATTCTCTTGTAGAAAAATGCCCACTGGATGTTTTTCCACAATAGAATGGTGAGATATAAATCCTTTAAATGCTAATAATAATACTATTGTGTGCACATTCTAAACAGCTACAGAAAGATAAGGTAAGTTCACGCTGCACATATCAGAGCAATTTTCTCAAAAATGAAAATTTACTTTTTTTCTTAAATGTGTTAAACATCTAGAGCTCAAGTGTAAAACATGTCTTTCACGTAAGCAGATTTGTACATCCTCCTTGCTTGCCTTAGAGAAATTACAGAAGCCTAAAATGTTTGTTTCATGCCTGCTTGTCTATGGGAAATCACAGAGACTTAAGCTTTCGAAGGATCTCCAAGTTCATGTAGTCCAGTATCTTCCTGGTATTATTTATTTCCTACATTATACCCCACTCTTCTTACCCCGAAGGGGACTCAGAGTGGCTTACAGATGGGTCACTTCAGTGCCACATTACAAATAAAAGCATATAATATAGAGCACATCAAACATCAACAAAATAAACATATAAATACAATAAAACTGTTCAGAAATATTAAGACTATATATACTATATGACTGCTGTTACAACATCCTTGACAGGATAGAATCATGATGTTCAAAGCTCCAACCCAGTTTTCAAGCAACTAATAAACCTGTTGCACCTCAGCTAGGGTTCACCTTGCTCAAGCGCTCACCAGGAAGCCAAACGTAGGAATAAACAGTTTATTGAAAAGCACACACTGTAAAAGAGTAAAAAATCCAAATAGGTAAGATAAAAAGAGTCCCAAAAGGCAGAGATAAATCTCCTATGCAAAGATTAAAGCATGAACATAAATCCAAGGAGCAGGGTAAAATCATGAGCTTGAATAATCCAAAAGACAAGTGTGATGAAATGTGAATTTTAACCTACAGTTATATGTAATTATAGATAGGTGTTTAAAAGGGTATTTAAAATAGCATAACTGGGGGGGGGGGGGGGGGGGGGGGGGGGGGGGGATGGTAGCCAGCTCAGCTCACTCTGAGCTGGGTTGCCATGGAAAAAGGGGCGGAGCCAGCTGCCACTTGGCAGGGCAGGCATTTTAAAATGGTCAGTCTGTTGTCTGAGAACTGCAGGAAAGGCTGGTTCTACAGTGTTGAGAATCAGGGAAGCAGTCTGTAGTTAAAGAACTACAGGGAAAGGCTGGTTCTACTGTGTTGAGAACTAGGAAGGTTTAGGCTTTTAGCCTCTGTGGTTTAGATAGGTCAAGTTGACTTCTTTAGATTAGTAGTTAGTGTATGAGCAAAAAGAGGGAGAGAAACCCAGCAAGCATCTTTACTGCAAGAGAAATAACACAGGGAAAGAATAAGCTGGTACCTGAAGTGAACTGTTAAGGAAAGAAACTCAGTTTGAAGAAAAATAAGCCGCGCTACACATTAAAGAAAGCCCAACAAAATATTATAAGCTATTAGCTGTGTTATCAATTTTATAAATCCATTACAAGTAGTAGGAGACCCTGATAAATCAGTGACGGCCCTACTGCTTCTGGTGTCGTCTTTACAAAGTGGTAGTGTTGTTACAAAGTGGTGGCATCGTTGCAACAAGGAATAAAACATCAACTTGAGTAATCCAAGAATCAAAGAACAATACATGAGCTTGAGTTCATGGTAAAATCCCCAAGACTAATAGAGCTAATAGAAAACAGTGTATATCAGCTATAAAACACATATTGTATATACTCATGTATAACTAGAAATTTTCATCAAAATCAGAAAACCGGGGTTGGCCTGTCCATGGAACAGTGTAACTCGTCAAAAAAGAATGAAACACACATAATAAATTCCCAAACCAAGTCACTAATAGACAATATGGCCACCAATCTCATGGACCTTCTTGACTCTGCCACTAGCGGATCAACAGGACAATAAAGCCGCCCTTTTCCAAAATTCCAATATTGTTTTAGGACCTTTTTGTTCTGTTCCCTTTCTGATCTGTGTCGACTTTTGCATCAAAGACAAACAAAAAAAAATGGGCAATTTCAGTTTCTGATATTTCTCTCCTATGCACACCAAGAGAAGGGGATAGTTCCTTTGATTATAAAAGTTTATACTGTACTGTAATTTTTATCAAAAAAAGTAACCATCAATTTTTCTGCATAGAGAGGTGAAAGCCTTTCTTGAACTGGCAAGAATGACCCTCGACTTATCCATGGGTCATATCACAATACCATAATATTGGCTCCAAAACCTGCCCTTGATTTATACATGAAATTGAGATATATATGAGTATATATAGTAGACTTCAAAACACGTTTTCTCATATAAAGGTTATAATAGTTGCAGTGTGGAATTGTGAAGCAGGTTCTCTACTATATTTCAACACTCAGATGGTAGTTAAATTTCTATCTCGGCTTCCTAATCATTTTTACCTTTCTACAAATGACAAAAGATAAGACTCATACTCATCAATAAAGATATATGACTAGGCTTGATGTTGGTCTTGCAGTAGAAATATTGAAATAAATCTATCTAGACCAATGGTTCTCAGCCTGTGGGTCCCCAGGTGTTTTGGCCTACAACTCCCAGAAATTCCAGCCAGTTTACCAGGTGTTGCGATTTCTGGGAGTTGAAGACCAAAACATCTGGGGACCCATAGGTTGAGAACCTCTGGTCTAGACATTCATGCAGTAGACCATTTTTAGAATAACTATTTTTATTGCCTTTACTTATATCCTTATCATTAATCTGGATTATCATTACTACAAATGATGATCCGTATCATCAATACCTTTGCTTATATCCATATGGTTAATACAAATTATAAAATCTTTTAGGTGACCAATGGCCTTGCAACAACACCTGAAGCTTCACAGTCCTTGGCCATTGCTCTAAAACACTGCAGCAACCTGAAGGTACAAAAGTAAGTGTATTCTTCATCTAACGCTTTTGGGGTACAGTTGCAAAAGTATGCCTTATTACCCTTAAGGCATCAGATTGTGTCTTACCATTAAACTTCCCTACTGTGAAGATCACCAGAGCACCTGCCCCTTAATTGGTTTCTCCATGCAATGTGGTGTATATGAAGCTTGCTGATGTGTATTCAGGCCTCTATTTCAGAGTATTCCCTGACTTTGCTTATCTCAATTTAAAGCCCTTAATGTTTATTGTTATGTACATTGGTGGCATAAGTCATCTAAACACCACATTGTCATTGCATTAAGTAGTCAGTGTTAACGTGTCCTATATTTCAGAGGAAGGAACTGGAGAAACTACTTCTGAGTATTTCTTGTCTAAGAAAGCCCTATGGATTTTCTAGGGTCTATCTATGGTTATCTAGATCAGGGCTTCTGAAACTTTTCCCATTTGCAACTCCTTTCTGCCCAAGATATTTTTATGCGACCCTGGGTATATAGGTATATTAAATAGGTATAAAAATGAAAGACTTACTGATAATAAATCAGCATTTGCAAGGCTTGCTAAACAGGCTATGTTTCCTTTTTATGAAGTATAGATGAAGCATTTTCTGCAGAATCCACTATAAACATTGCATGTTGTTGCTAACAGATTTGTGTAAATGAGTGGCATTCAGAAAGCTTTTACTGTTGCTAAATTTTTCATGAGCTAAGGGAAATCCATTTGGGGGCAGGACCCACAGTTTAAGAAGTGGTAATCTAGACAATCACAGATATAATCTATTTTGATGATAAGACCCCTTCTACACTGGCATATAAAATCCAGATTATCTGCATTAAACTGTTATCTAGACTGTTTTATATGGCAGTGTAGACTCAACTAATCCATTTCAAAGCAGATATCATGGATTATCTGATTTGATCATCTAGGGCCCATTCTACATTGAACTGCATTGAATTGGATTTCATGGCAGTGTAGACTTAAATAATCAGTGTCAAAGCAGATACTGTGGATTATCTGATTTGATAGTCTAGGGCCCCTTCTACACTGCCATATAAAATCCAGATTATCTGCTTTGATCTGGATTATATGGCAGTGTAGAATTAAATAATCTGTTTTAAAGCAGATACTGTGGATTATCTGATTTGATCATCTAGGGCCCCTTCTACATTGAACTGCATTGAACAGGATTACATGGCAGTGTAGACTCAAATAATCTGTTTCAAAGCAGATTCCATGGATTATCTGATCTGATAACCTGGGGATGCTTCTATGCTGATATATAAAATCCAGATTATCAGTTTTGAACTGGATTATCTGGCATTATAGGCTCATATAATCCAGCTCAAAGCAGATAATGTGAATTATCTACTTCGATAATCTGAATTTTATGGCCGTGTAGAAGGGGCCATAGTCTACTTAAAGAAAGGATTTCCACTTAAGTCTGTGTTTGCATTTGAGTGGAAATGTATAGGATTGTACTGTAAGGGAACAATCCTATACTAGTATCAGCGACTGTGTCCAAATGAATTTAATAAGGCACGCTTTCAAGTAAATTTAGCTTTGATTGCACTGGAGCACAAAAGTATTGTACATTGATTGGATCAAAAGTTTGAAATGTGGTTGTGATGATGAGTATTCATCTTCACTGAATGTGTAATAAGGTAGATGGGACCAGACATAGTGAAAAATAAAATTGTCTGCTGCATAACATTTGTTGTTAAATTAACTGCTGTAAAGAGACCCTCAAGATGTTGCTTTAGTACTAATACATTTTACAGTTGGCATTTTTCATGTGAAAGATGCATCACATTATCAATGCTAGGTAGCATTCCATAGCAGAGTGTTTTTGCTTTTGCTTTAGATATTGCAGACCTAGATATACAGATATAGACATAGATACAGATCTATATTGTAGACTAGCGTGCTGCTTGATTTCAAGGTGTATCTCTGGATGCCTGTCCCTAGGGTTTAAAGGCAGAGCTTATTTTACTGGTGTCTATTAGCAGTTTATTACTTGTGTCTTGTGGCATCTTTGTTTTTGTCTGGTTTTATTGTTAGGTGGATATATTTTGTTAATTCAGTTGCACAGTCTACTGTGACACTTTTTATGTGTTAACTGATAAGCAGAGTGTTAAAAACACATTTGAATGCATGATACAATTCTGACTTTATATCTTACATTTATTTTAATATGCATTTTAAGTTATAGCATTTATGATGCATGTTCTGTAGGGTCCTGTGTGTATTTGTTGGTGACATGGATATGAACATTGACTTGGAGGATGGGTAAGTCTTTCCCTTTCCACCTTCCCAGTTCATTTAAATGTAAGACTATGAAACCACATATCTGGTGCTTCAAATTGGGGGTCAGGTTTGGAAGGATATTAAGAAGAGCTAGAATAGACACATTCCTAAGCCTAGCGTCTTGATCACTCTTGAAGTCCCAGTTGAAGAGTGACGCCCCTTCGACACTGCCATATAAAATCCAAATGAACTGAATTATATGGCAGTGTAGACTTGGATAATCCAATAAAAAAGCAGATAATGTGGATTAGTGTTTATGTATATTTTTTGTTATCTTATGTTCCGGCATGGAATGCTTGCCATGTATATGTTGTGCTTTACCCTGAGTCGCCTTCAGGGTGAGAAGGGCGGAATATAAATGTTTTCAATCAATGAATTATCTGCCTGGATAATCTGGATTATATGGCAGTATAGAAGGGGTCTAAGATCTATTTGATGGGTAACTTCTTAACATTTAATGTACAAAATCTAAATCAGCAGGATTTGGTTCTTATTGTTGGAAATAGCAACCTTCTCAAGCTTCCACTAGTTATTTGTTATGTATATAATTGCTTATTGTATGGTATACGTATGCATTGGTTTACATGTACCTCTTTGTTGTGGGAGAGGCTGCAGAACATGTGATCAGAACTGGGCATGTTGAGGACTCAGACTCCATTTTAGAAACTGTTTTGCTTTAGACTTCAATGTAGAAAGAGTTCAGTTTAAACTTCAGTAGGTACAGTATGTGGTACAGAAGCCATTAGACTTTTAATGTAGAGACTTCATTAAGAACAGTATATTCCTCAGATTTAACTGGTTTCAGTTTAGGAACTGTATGCTTAGAGACTAGACAGAGACTCTATTAGACTCTCTGAACAGAGAAATCCTTTGGACTATAGACTACTGATTCTAAGAAAGATGCCCTGTGTTACCTATACAAACTACTTAAAATTCTATTGTAACTGGATTCATATGCAACGTACCGATATGCTGAACACATGAAGTTTGTGAGTAAACCAACTATGTTACTTTTAAAGAAGTCTCTTTATTTTTGTCTCTTGAGAGCATGATTTAAAGGCAAATATATTTTAAGGGAGAGTAGATGTTTTGGGGCAACTAAAGCAGTGGTTGTCAACCTTTCTAATGCTTCGACGCCTTGATACAGTTCCTCATGTTCTGGTAACCCTCAACCATAAAATTATTTTCATTTCTACTTCATAACTGTAATTTTGCTACTGTTATAAATCGTAATGTAATTATCTGATATGCAACATATAGTTTGATTTACTGGACCAAATTTGGCACAGATACCTGGTATACCCAAATTTGAATACTGGTGGGATTAGGGGAATTGTAGTTGCTGGGATTTATAGTTCACCTATAATAAAATAGGATTCTGAACTCCACCAACGATGGAATTGAACCAAACTTGGTACACAGAACTCCCATGACCAACAGAAAATACTGGAAGGGTTTGATGGGCATTGACCTTGAGTTTTGGAGTTGTAGTTCACCTACATCCAGAGAGCACTGTAAACTCAAGCAATGATGGATCTGGATCAAACTTGGCACAAATACTCAATATGCCCAAATGTGAACACTGGTGGAGTTTGGGGAAAATAGACCTTGAGATTTGGGAGTTGTAGTTACTGGGATTTATAGTTCACATACAGTCAAAGAGTATTTTGAACCTGCCAATGATAGAATGGGGCCAAATTTCCCACACAGAACCCCCATGACCAACAGAAAATCCTGTGTTTTCTGATGTTCTCTGGCAACCCCTCTGACACTCCTTCACGACCTCCTAGGGGTCCCGACCCCCAGGTTGAGAAACACTGAACTAAAGGAACACTTCTGAAACTCTGCTAAATGTTTGCGACCAGTGGTTTTCCAAAAGGTTATGAATCCCATTTCCCGAATGGTTATGGAGATTCACATTTTCCAAAACTTATTCAGTATGATTACATCTGAATTGCACATCTCTTTTTCTGTTACCTGGATATCTATTTTCAGTGGCTTAAATATAACTTCTGAAAATAAAAGAAGTACTTTTGCTGGAAGAAAGCTTTATTATACCCATTTTCTCCAAACCCTTTCTCCCAAATGCCCACATCTTTGGTTTTGATATTTTTATGATGTATAATTTATTTCTGTTGGCACCTAATAGAATCTACATGCTTTGCTATTCTTTTCCAGAAAAGTGCTTTTGATTAATATCTCTGCTAAGCAATTGGAACAATCCAACACCAAGTATAATATATTTCTCCACTGGAAGGAGGTAAACTTAATGTTTTTCTGGTCTTTTTTGCAACTTCAAATGTTGTCCCTTGACAATACAAAGTCTAGATGAGAACTGAGCTTCTGAACATTCAGCAAGATTTCCTTTTTTATTGTTTGGAACATCTAATGTCGAACTCCCAGGTGGGTTTGGGACTTCCATCCTAAATGCAGATGTAGTGCTCATGTATACATTTTAAAGACTTTCCCCAAATGATTCTCAATATATGCACTGATAATACTTCTGCCTTGTGTAGCGTGGTGCTGTTAGTTGGAAGAACTCTAGCAGAAAATGTTTCGTAAATTACTTCCCAAGAGTGTTACGCTGCATTAATTCACAGCTGTAGTCCTTTTCATGTGTTACTCTCATGAATGGGGCTATGTGTGTGGAAAGCCCTGTGGAGTTGTAACAGTAGCTCACACCTGATTGTCTATGGGTTTGTCTACACGGTAAAATTAATGCAGCGTGACACCACTTTAACTACCATGGTTCAATGCTACGGAATCATAGGAGTTGCAGTTTGGCAAGGTCTTTAGCTTTCTCTGGCAAAGAGTGCTGGTCCCTCACCAAACTATAACCCCCATCATTCCAAAGCATTGAGTCATGGAAGTTGAAGTGATGTTAATTACTACTTTAATTCTATATCAGTGGTTCCCAACCTGTGGTCTGTGGACCACCAGTGGTCTACAAGAATGAAAATATGGTCTGTGGCCTCACCATTACCAAACCGTTGCCTTGAAACCACACGGCAACAAGAGTGACTGGTCTCGCGAAACCCTTTTATAGTGCTGAGGCAATGAGGATGTGGGGAGGGGAGAGGCTGACTATCCACGAAAGATTACTACTACCACATCAGCTCTAGATTATTAAATATGTTTTTTTGTGGGCGAGCAGGTGACAACTACTGGATTGCATATGTTTGTATCCGAAACTAGAGTTAATACCGTCTATCCAATGCAATTTTCCAAATCAGCACCCCAGTTGACCAAAAACTGATTCGTAACCCTTTTGGTACTAATGTTGGAGAGTAGTCCCTTGCCAAAGTGGTCCCTGGTCAAAAAAAAAAAAGATTGAGAACCGCTATTTTATAGTGTAAGTGTACCCAAACTCTCTTTTCCTCCTTCTGCGTCCATGCACTTTATGAGCCCATCATATCTTTCAATTCCATAAGATGGAACCATGGCAGTTAATGTGGAATAGTAACACTATACTTCTATAGTGTGAATGGGCCCCAGCTTTCTGTGAATAGGATTGCTAATATTCTAGAATCTTCATTACACAGAATTGTCGGATTTAGAGGTTTTTACAATAATAATAATTTTATTTCTTACACGCCTCTCCCCATGGCTCAAGATGGCTCACAATACTATTAAAACACACACAAATACTATGAAAATTCTACAAACGCACATTAAAATTCAGTTCCATAAAAGATACAGATCAAAGCATTTATGTAAAATACATATTAATCACCCAGGACAGAGATCAAAACACATGACATGAGTTTAAAATGCATGCTTTCAACTGGCTGGGTAGGCCTGTCAGAAGAGATGGGTTTTTAGATGGTTTTAAAATTCCGACAGCTGATCTAACTGTTGGATCTGTCTAATCCATATTTAAATTCCTTTCCTATCTACTTCCTCATGCTAGATATGAAAAGACATATCTAACATCTAGAGGCTAGGGAATGTTGATTGAATTGCTTGTTTGGATTTTGTAAATTTGTACACCTTTTTAAAATTAAACATGTCTTGTATTTTGTTAGAAGGATATTGAGACAACCACTTTCATCTCAGCTCTTACTGGACTTATTCTTCCGGTAGCATATAGCTATCAGCCTGATCTAACTGTTGTCGTCATTGGACAAAACCAGAGCCTCAGCCAAAATGGCATTTCTTTACTTATCAGTTTACTGCAAGGATTAGCACAGTCTCGGGTTCTTGTTCTGATTCAGGTAAGGAGCTTCTACAATCCTACCATGAAATAAAAATAGCTTCTTGAATATTAGATGCAATCAAACAAGCTGTTTACACACATACACACACACATATTAAAGATTTACTAAAAACTCTCTATAAAACTTTTATTTCGGGTAACTGATTCTTTTATCTAGAATGTACTCACTTAGTTGAGAAGCTAATCAGCTCCGATTGTTTATTTTTAGGATTCAGGATCAAAATTATTGCAAGATGTAATCAAGCTTTTGATGGGAGACTTTACACCTTTTTTGGGAAAATACACCCCTGCTTTAAAAGAGAATATGCAAATGATAACGGAATTAAGACAGCAGCTTCAGCAGGAATGGAAAATGCTCCAGTGTTCAGGCAAGTAATTAGATACAAGTTGATATTTAAAAGGAGAACAGCATGGGTGCTATACTGTTCTTCTAGAAATGTTTTCTGTTTTTGTTAGATGTTGCTCAAATTTGCAATTAACATAGCTCAAGAGAACCAAAATCATTCTGAGACTGGGTGTATTTACACTGTAGAATGAATGCAGTCTAACCCCACTTTACCTGCCATGACTCAATGCCATGAAATTATGAGAGTTGTTGTTTTACAAGGTCTTTCACCTTCTCTGCCAAAGAGTACTGGTGCCTCACCAAACTACATTTCCCAGGATCATACAGTGCTGAACTGGTCTTAGCACAGCAAGCTAAACAGCCATGCTGCTGAAAAATCCTTCTGTTTGAACGGTCAGCAGTTCAATCCCAGGTCGGGGTGATCACCCGCCATTAGCCCTAGCTCACCTGCACACTTAACAGGTTGAAAGCAGAAATGTTTGTAGATAAATAGGTACTGCTTTTAGCAGGGATGTAATAAGGGGGCCCTTAAAAACATTGATCGATTGAAGGAAAGCTTCTCGGCATGGAAGATGAAGCAATAGCAAACTGCCCATCCTCGTGGACGGAGTCGAGCACAACCTCCAAGATGCCGGAAATAAGATGTGATAAACTGCCTTTACCTCTGTTTGTGTTCTGTCCTTGTTAAGTGTATAATTGGCATTGAATGTTTCCCATGTGAGTGTATTCTCTAAACCACTCTGAATCCCCTTCCGGGTGAGAAGTACAGGGTATAAATACTGTAAAATGAAATTAAAAAGTCAAAGTCAAACTGCATTAATTCTATAGTGCAGATGCACCCTTTGTGGAGGAAAATCTAACTAATCTTATTTATTCTCCCACCCTTCCTCTCTTGCAGCAAAGGTTTCCAGTACTGAAAAATGAAATTTACCTGGCTGTTGTTCTGGTTGCAGTTGGTGTAAATAGAACATAAAGGATGAGAAAATGGAGTCTTACTCAGTACCAAAAAAATGAAGAATGAACTATGGCACATGAATGACAATGAAAGGCGCATTGGAAACCATATTCTTTCTTGTTGTTGTTCATTCGTTCAGTCGTCTCCGACTCTTTGTGACCTCATGGACCAGCCCACGCCAGAGCTCCCTGTTGGCTGTCACCACCCCCAGCTCCTTCAAGGTCAATCCAGTCACTTCAAGGATGCCATCCATCCATCTTGCCCTTGGTCGGCCCCTCTTCCTTTTGCCTTCCACTTTCCCCAGCATAATTGTCTTCTCTAGGCTTTCCTGTCTCCTCATGATGTGGCCAAAGTACTTCAACTTTGTCTCTAGTATCTTTCCCTCCAATGCGCAGTCGGGCTTTATTTCCTGGAGGATGGACTGGTTGGATCTTCTCGCAGTCCAAGGCACTCTCAGAACTTTCCTCCAACACCACAGTTCAAAAGCATCTATCTTCCTTCGCTCAGCCTTCCCTAGGGTCCAGCTCTCACATCCGTAGGTTACTACAGGGAATACCATGGCTTTGACTAGGCGGATCTTTGTTGCCAGTCTGATGTCTCTACTCTTTACTATTTTATCGAGAATGGACATTGCTCTCCTCCCAAGAAGTAAGCGTCTTCTGATTTCCTGGCTACAGTCTGCATCTGCAGTAATCTTTGCACCTAGAAATACAAAGTCTGTCACGGACCTCCACGGTTTCTCCCTCTATTTTCCAGTTGTCAATCATTCTTGTTGCCATAATCTTGTTTTTTTATGTTTAGCTGCAACCCGGCTTTTGCGCTTTCTTCTTTCACCTTGATTAGAAGGCTCCTCAGCTCCTCCTCGCTTTCAGCATCAAAGTGGTGTCATCTGCATATCTAAGGTTGTTAATGTTTTGTCCAGCAATTTTAACTCCAGCCTTGGATTCATCAAGCCCCACACGTCCCATGATGTGTTCTGCATACAAGTTGAATAGGTAGGGTGAGAGTATACAGCCCTGCTGTACTCATTTCCAAATCTTGAACCAGTCTGTTGTTCCATGGTCTGTTTTTACTGTTGCTACTTGGTCCTTGTACAGATTCCTCAGGAGAGAGACAAGGTGGCTTGGGATGCCCATCCCCCTAAGAACTTGCCACAATTTATTATGATCCACACAGTCAAAGGCTTTAGAATAGTCAATGAAGCAGAAGTAGAAGTAGATGTGATAGCCATGTATAA